AGGGCTGGATCGATTTCGATGTATGTTTGAAAGATTTGGCTCCTTCTGTACAACTGTGTCTTTCTCTAGTTGCTGTGAAACAAAAAAAGAAGGAGGTTAATTTCAATTTTTTTTCTATTGAATTTTCAAATGTACATAATCTTTTTTTCAAACATGTTTGTTGGTTTGTATTTTCAGGAATACAGTGGAATTGGTTGGGTGAATTTACGCCTTTTTGATTGTAATGGAAAACTTGTTCAGGGCAAATTTACGCTTTATCTGTGGCCTTTTCCGAAATACTGCACGGAACTGCTCTATCCATCCGGACAAGTAATACATTAAGTCTGAATCGAAAAGTTATAGCTGAGTATTTTATAATTCATTATTTCACGCCTAAAAATAGATATTCAGTGTAATTCGTCTGTTGGTATTTGAGCATCCGCAAGCTGGTATCTTGACTATCGTTTTGGAGGTATCTAAGACGCCATTTGTTACATATACTAATTGCGATAGTGCGATGCCAATACTTTGAACTGCCGATATGTAAGCGCTGAATATAACGGGGTGTTTTCTTCGTCAAAGTTGTGCTATTGTATTGGCCTTCTCATTTGTTAGCATACCATGATGACGCAACTGCGACACATTTTATTAAACTTTTTTAAAATATTTTAATATTTCATATTAAAAATATTTTTTTTTTTTAAATGATCTAGCTGTGCAATTTAATGATCTAAGTGTGCAATGTTTTATAGGTAGGCTCAAATGATAATCGTGATACAGTTCGTATTGAAGTGGAATTTGAAGATTATCTATGTATCGAATTTCCAGATTTAGATTCAGTGTGTGAATACGTCGAAAAATTAGATATTCACAGTACAAGATCGCCTTTACCAGCTTTATCTTCAGTATGTGACTATTTGATTCTTGTTTGTTTAGAAGACTTTTACCCAATAGGATTTATAAGCATAAGAGGTTTTTCTAGGCAGCCAATTCTGTGAAGGAATTTCTTGACTCCTTACGTTTTGTGGATGCTGAAAATTTAACCGACAACCAGATGGAACGTTTATGGGAAGCGAGGTAGTTTTTAAAACTAATAGCCGGACATTTTTTATTTTTGTTTTACCACAATATTAAATATAATGAGCTTGCAGTCGCTGATTTCGAGCTATATCGGTGTGATAACTATTCTCTTAACCAGTTTTCCGGGAAGTTAGTTGTACAGTGTTTCAGAGAGTTAGTTGCACAATATAAGCCTGATTTATTGCCACTCATTGCTCACTGTTCTTTGATTTGGACGAGAAGAGACGAATTTTCACGGCTATACGAATTATTAAAGCGATGGGGTAAAATTCAACCAGAAACAGCTTTGATACTTCTGGATTTCAAATATCCTGATATCAGAATCCGAGAGTTTGCAGTAGATTCGCTTGATAACGTTCTGGATAATGACAGATTACAGCTTTATATTTTGCCTCTCATTCAGGTAGGATTGCTTCTTGAAGAATATGAGTGATGTGTTTGAAGATTTCTAGAATTTTCCTATTTTGACTTTATTGAGCTTTTTTAATGTGTTGAATACTTTCTTTACTCACTAAAGTATAAGAAAAACTAAATATATTTCACCGCAATGTAGTACATTATGAAGTTTTTTACTTCGAACCATATTATTTTTCACTGTAGTATTGATGTCGTGACGAAATTGGCTGTTCTTTTGGTTGCAGGTATTGAAGTTTGAGCCGTATGGATCATGTGCTTTGAGTAGGATGCTTCTGAAAAGAGCACTCTGTAATAATCGTATTGGTCATATATTGTTTTGGTTATTGCGAGCTGAACTTGGACAACTAAGTAATTATCTCCTTGTATATATTTTTATTAGCCAGCCTTTCCTTTTTCTCTTCAGGAACTTAATTAATCAGCGATGTTTACTGCTGGCCGATCTTTCAGGTGAAATAGGTCAGGATTTAACGAAGATTTACAAACGTTTTGCATTAATGATTGAAGCCTACTGTCGAGCTAACTGTGCTCATCTTAATTCTATGTTACGGCAAGTGGATATGGTAGTAAGACTGACAAATCTTAGTAAAATTATTAAAACCATGAAGGATAATGAATGCGCTACCAAGGTGACAATTCTGAAAACATTTCAACTTTTTGTATTGTAAATTGCTAGCCATATCATCCGATACTGTAATTTGAGTTACTTTCTACGCTGCAGTTGGCTTCCTGTTTATTTCCACGTTAAATGCATTCTGATATGCGCTCTCGAATGATATGTATGACTTGGAAACATTTTGGAAAGAAATTTTCATGCATTTGAATTTAACACCATTTTTTTCAGCGTTTGCAAAAAGAATTGGCTTCATATGTGGAAATAATGCAGAATATGATCTCACCTCTAGATATTTCCAATAGTTTAGGCGTATTAAAGTGAGTCATCTTTTAACGCTACCTTAACTTTGCGAAAATCAGTGGAATGTTTTTTACAAGCAAATCTTCTAGAATACAAAATATGAAAAGTAAGCGATTTTTGCAGCATAGAACAGTGCAAAGTAATAGGAAGTGCGAAGCAACCACTCCGGCTAGCTTGGACTAATCCGGAGCCTCTTGCTCGATTGCATAGTGAGACTCATCAAATTATCTTCAAGAATGGTGATGGTAAGTACTCTTGAACGATGAATTTTTGTCGTTTGGAAACTTTACCAGTCATTACTGTCATATATGATACTAATTCTTTTCAAAAATCTCTGTTGAAGAGTTGCTTGCTTTTGATTAAATTATATTATTCTACATCTGTGATTTTCCCACAAAAATTGCTTGAATTACTGTGACAATCTTAATTTCATTAACACCTGATAATATGCTTAAGGCATATTAAACTTTGCTAAATTTCAGATCTGCGGCAAGATATGTTAACTTTACAAGTTATGCGTATTATGGATGCGCTATGGAAAAGCCAAGATTATGATCTCTGCTTAAGTATTTATGAAGTATTACCAATGGGAAGGAATGTAAGTTATCGGGAATGACTTCAGGAAGTAGAATATTTGTGGTAAAATGAAGCTAATATTATTTGATTTGAGTTTATTTTGCAATATGAAAATAAAAAGAACAACCTTACAGGTTGGGATGATTTATGTTGTTCAAAACTGCAGCACACTTTTCGAAATTCAGTGTGCTGCAAAACAACTTGGATCAACGTTCAGTATGGAAAGCGGACTTATTAACAAATATATACGAAATTGTTCGGAGAATTCGAAAGTGTACGTTTAGTCAAAAAAAATTACAGGGAGCTTTCAAAAGATACCGAATACTTTTTCAATCCCAAAAAAATAGTTCACGTTAGGAGATTCGATAAAATATTCGGAAGCTATTCTGTATTTTTTCCTTTTCAGCTTTTCTAATGTATCATGTTTTACCACGATTAATGACAATGAGAAAATGATGGTAGGACACTATTCATGGAAGTCTAACTTTATTGCAGATATTTGGAAGGAGTTGATCGTTTTACTGCTTCCTGTGCTGGATATTGTGTTGCAACATACGTGCTGGGAATCAAGGATAGACACCAAGACAACATTATGCTAGCTAAAGATGGAAGGGTAGGTTTATAAAGAGTTATAACTTTTTTCATGATGAATTTTACAGTTTAAACTTCAAATCAATCCCCAATTTTTTTTTTAAAACAATCCTTTTGCAGCTGTTTCATATCGACTTCGGACATTTTTTGGGTCACTATAAAAAGAAATTAGGTATTAATCGTGATCGGGTACCGTTTGTTTTGACCGATCATTTTCTCTGCGTTATAGCTAAAGGCAAAAGCAATTTCCATGACAGCCACGAATATAAAAAGTGAGTAAATACGTATCTTTTGCACACCATTCTTACCAATTTCCTTGTTCGTTGGGGAAAAATGGAATTCAAATTATTTAAGGTTCAAGAAACTATGTACAGAAGTATATATTATATTGCATCAACGGTCCAAGTTATTTATTTCGCTCTTCTCGATTCTACTGCGCATGGGACTTCCTGAGTTGCAAAAGGTAGCTTATGCAATAATTTTGAAAATTCTGAACTACGGTTTTTTTAAGTTTGCAGATTGTGCTGCATAATGGGGGACAAAATGTTTATTTTAGGCGGAAGATATTAATTTTTTGAAAGGAACATTATGTTCTGATGTGGATTCCAATCATGCAGCTGCATCGTTTTACAAAATTTTTGAAGAAGCCTTTAGTGGCGCATGGTCAACTAAAACTAATTGGTTCTTTCATTCTGTGAAACATTTATAAACACTTTTTGAATAAAAATTCTACCCAGCTCCAAACTTTTCACAAGCGATATTGTTAGCCATTTGACAATAAATTGTTTGACTTTAAGATTTTTAGATCCTCTTCTTGTCTCATTTTATGACATGGTTGAATATTCACAGTGGAAGGAAGGCAACTTATCTAAAAAAATAGCTCAAAAAAAGGAATTTGCCTCTTATATTTAAGAATTTACATTTTATTTAGCTTATTCTCGAGCAAAACCTACATACTTTTGTATATATTTTTAATGAAAGCTTACATAAATTATGAATTATTTGCGTGTGAAAAACAGGAAAACTATGGGGTAATTTTTATCATGAAATCGGTTGAGGAGAAAATATGATGAACATAACTGAATTAAAAGTTTGCAACAACAACATTTTGGGTTTGTGATCTGTGCCTATTGTCGCGCAAGAAGGAACATGAATTCGAAATGCATGAATATTCTATAAGAACATTAGTTAACAAAATGAAGTTTTGGAAAGATTCGAAAATTGTGATTTGCGAAAAGGCACATTAAAACCTAACCATTAGCGATAACTGCTGGAGTGAAATAAATTAAAAATTATACCTGTTAAGGAATTATACCGAGTAAAACATATTCGTTAGAAAACTAAATGGAATGGATACATGATCTTATAGTACCCTGCGAAGCATCGATATGAATAAGACATAAATACAAACTTTGAAATTTTTCCCGGATGCTAAAATTGAAATTCACTTCCCAACCCGACGATCTCTTGATGAGTATTCCTGGAGATAAGAAAGGAACTGTTGGTGTGAAAAGTTACTGGGAAGACTTTTCAGCTGAAGTACTTCCGTTATCCTTAATACCCACGGAGAATAACCCGCCATTGTTTCTAAATTACCTATTTGGAGCAGGAAATCCGGTTCGCAAATGTGTTCTTTAGCAAGACATTCTGATATTTGCTCAATTGTTATATCTGCCGGTTCACGCTCCATACAAAGCTGAAAGTAATTCTTGAATATTTGAGTTTAAGTTAAAAACTTGTGATAACATTCTTATAATGACATTGATGACATTGACATTGTCGCTAATATAAAACAACCAAAGCAGAGATTGTGAGATTCCGAAGCAGCAGGGGAACTTTTCCGTCTCGATCACAGTGGAAAGCAATCTTTAGAACCAAAAAATATCTCTTTCAATTTCCAAAGATATTTCCGATCCATTTTTATCCTATTCGCAACTGAAACTTATTTATCCCAAATGGCTTTTTTTCATAATTTATTACGCAGTATAAAATTGGGATAATAACGCACTTCCTAACATGTTGCAGAAAAATATTACTTTTCGGCAAGCTCGAACAATGGATTGCCTGCCATCTCGTACGCCAAGAATTTTGACAGAAGTATGAATGAAGCTTGGATGAATTACAGAATGGTCAGAATCGTAAAATTCCACGTCGATAAGGTCTTTCGACCATGTCGTACGCATAAAATCATGCGTTAGCTTTCGCAGAAGCTCTCGTTTTGAAAAAATATAGGACCATGGATCGTATAAAGTGATTTTTGTGATACCAGCACGAGCACTACGAACAATCAATTTACTAAGAGCTTCCTAAAAAATGTTGCTTAAAACTGCTGACGTGAACATCATAGCAAAACACCTCGATGGTAGACATATAAGTCTCAGAGAGAAGTATGGCGAATTAAACTCATATAATTTTAAGTTTGTCCGCTCAACACTGGCGATGCATCTCTAATGAATCCGCAAATTAGCTTAGTGATTATAAGCTCCGTATTTTATAATGACTTTAAATTTGAAATTTAAAAGTTGGTAAATTAATTCATAAATTTGCACAAACATAATGATATTGACTGTAGAATGGAGAACGCTACTAATTTCTCATTTATAAACTTGAAATTTCAACGGAAATTTCTTGATATTAAAACTTGAGGATCGTCTCCGACATTCGTGGAAATTAGGAGTAAATGATCAAAAATTCAACCTAAACAAAAAAACTTACAAGTGAAATGGCACACTTATCGGTATATAGGACAGCGAGATGATTGGGAAGGTGATGAAATTGAGAGTTGTTGTCGGCGCTCCACAAAAGGCTTTTAATGATAAGCGATGGCTTGGAGATATAATTGAGAATGACTTCCAAGAATGTGTATGCAAACCTTAACAATTCTACCACAACATTCAACATCTCTAATTCATGACTTCACGTACCAAGTTTGCCTCCACGTGTGAACGCATCCCTTGAACGTCTCATTTTTTCACAGGCCGCAGTTATGTCGAGATTGGTATAAGTGATAAGTAGTGTGGAGTGTTGTTGAGTGTTGGACTCATGTTTTTCGTGTACTTGCTTTTTTCGAGCATCTTAGTTTTTCTGACTGGTAAGGTATCTGTGGAAATTCCCTATTTCTATAACGCAGTAAGTCCTTGTCATTCGAAACTAAACTACCTGCAATAAGTTTGAGTAAAGAACGGTCGTCATCAATATTCCTATTTTTCTTTGGAGTGGAAGAAGAACGCCCCTATCCTTTTTTATCATTCTTTTTATCCTTCAACTGGTTTTGATTTTTCAAGTTTGTAAGTTCTATGGGAAACCTAGCGAAATTCAAAGAATAAACAAATTAACCTTTGAAGTTTAGTTTGCAGGCTGTATTTGCGGTGATGGGACATGACCACGGACCGAAGATACCTTCATATACATTATATGATAATTATCGCGAGATACCAAAGCTTCGAGTATATGAAGAAAGGCTAGCGCGGATCGGTCTGAAAGACCCCTGGATAAGGTATATATTGTTACTATGAGTGATTTATTCTCTTGTCATATCCTTCAGTTTTATTTAGAAAACCAAAGTTTCGAAAAGTTAATTATCATCTGTTTTGGGAATTGCAGGTTCAGGGAAGTGATTTGTTTCTTTGTTCGCCAAAACGATAAATGCAAATGTTTTTTGGCGACTTGTTAGATTAAATTATGCTTTAGTCATTGAATTTTCCCGAAAGCTTTCGTCTTTCGTCTGTTTAATGGCATGCTGCATTTTTGTGATTTCATAAAGGTTGAGAAGGAGCTGGAATTTGAACTATTTTACCCACAACGCTTTCTAAAATTTAGAGCTAAACAAAATTTTAGTATTTTCAGAACTGATTTGGAAAAAATTAGTTCTGATTAGTGTTTCTCTTTTTCAGGAATTATTCATACATGTTCATGGGGCGATTTACTGCTGATCCGTGGGATAGCTTTAAATATATGATTCGTGCTGGCTGGAAGTTAGGATGTGGTGTTGCGGCTGCGGTAATAGCTGTAGAAGAATCATACATGTACTGGAAGTATGGGCATACACATTGGGGAAAAAAGCACCATTAGGATCAATTTTCTTCCATCTAATTATCTCAATTTTGTATGTTCAGACTTACTGTAGCAGAGTTAATCTTTTCATCTGAAAGAAAGACCATCTAAATAACAGCGAAATTACTGCGGAGCAAATTCTGTGCTTGTTTTGTATATTATTACTTGTACAATTCTTTATAGTTTTAGAATCGTTCAAGAAAATTTTCTGGAACTTTTTCTATATAAATAACAAACTTTGTGTTATCTCATAGACATTGTAGCAGCACAATTCCTCAAGAGGGCACAAGCCTTCCTTTTTAAACAAAGGATGAACTTATTGATGGAAATAACTAATATAAAAATACAATTTCTGTGAAAGTAACTTCGTTGGAAGTGTTATCTCAAAAATAAAAAGTTTATTACTGCTGAGGGTACAACTGTTGAAATATGAAATCAGACTAGATATCACAAACTGGACACTGTTATGAGTTTTGTGGAATTGCCTGATCAGGAATTTCATTCCGATTATTTGTCAAACGTAATATCCGAAATTTGTCTAATTGATGCTCAACTCATAGATAAAAAAGTGGAGAGTGCATAAAAGTTCTATTTCTATCATTAACTTTTCAGTCATCTTGTTGAACTTTGATAGAAAACGAAAAATTTTTAAATGCATCAATATATCGTCGTCAATTTTCTTTTTAACCCGCCATTATTGAAATGAGAGAATATCTGCTCTTAAAATAGGTCAGCCGATCGATACTCATAGTAATAGCGGATGAATGAATAGAGATCGCTATGATTTAGTTTTGAATAATATTTCATTAATCCCGCCCTCTCTTCCAAATATAGTGAATAGTATATGAATGATTCATTGCAACTTCCGGGTTTTTATTATGTGCAAGCACTTCCGAAAAACGACTTCGACAAAATCAAGTTGTGATATTCGCCAGTTGTTGAATGCTGCCACTAAAAATCCTTGCTCTTTGCTTTGTTTTTATCGGTAGGATTCTTGAACATCCAGAAGTTTTATTTAATTAGAAGAAACCTCTCTTGAAAATCTCAACTGTATTTGTGGTACTTGTTATTATATTTTGAATCAATTATTCAGTTTATTTCGAAGTATGAAAACCCTATTGGAAAAAGTTTGTTCAGCAAAAATTTGATCCGGATGTTTCGTAGTAATTTCATTAACTTAGATACTACTAAATCGCTGGGAGAGACAGTCAAGCAGTTCACTGCTGATAGTGATCGATGGATCTTCCCGAAAAATGGTCAAAACACAGTTTTCTCGCAACATCAGGTTTCCAGCAGGTTCTTTTGGTCTTCAGACACTTTCAAAACTTCAGAAGTTCAGGAAATTGATAAAAATTTATTCTCAAACTGTTTCATTCATTGTTTCATGTGATTTGAGAAATATAAAAATTCGAAGTGCTAGGTCTGATTAATTATTCCAACGGGAAAGCTTTGTTTTTCTGTCCGAAGAGGATATTGAGAACATTAGTGAGAAAGTTGGAATTTGTTTAAAGCGAACATTCACAGATTTAATGATCATTCGAGATTCAACGCAGCGAGCATAATTGATTTCCTTGGTGGTATCATGCAAATTTTGAGTAAAAACCGACCTAACTTACAAATCAACACACAACAGGTCAGCATATAGTTACCTTAAATATTTTATACGGCAGAATACCCTTAATTGTCGACAATTGTTTTTATCTCCAAATTTATGCCTGACGTAAGGCTTTTCATCAAACATGGACTAGTACTGATTAGGTTTTATTCATTTTTGATTTAAAGTATAAATTAAACTAAATTTCAGTACTAAATTGTAAACTAAATCAAAAATAGACGAATCTTTCAGTCTCCCATGAAATTGAATTGGAATCTAAAACGATACTTTGAACCTATAAGTGCAACGAATGATTACAGTCAAAAGCGCCAGCCTTTGGCTTATTTGGACACAGGTGGTAATAATTTTGATCGCTTTATTGTATCAGAGAGAAGAAACGACAACCCAATTTTGGATTGGATTGTCGGTAAATTTAGTAGACGAGGTGAACTTTTGATAATTATCTTTTCGGATTTTTTTCAGGTAATGAAAATACTTTTTCATCTCATATCCTGCTTCATCCTCCGATCTACTCACTTATATTGAATATATTTTAAAAAATGTGCTAAATATTTTAGTCCTGTAAAAATTTCGAATTACAGGAATTATGGCATAGTCAAATTTTAAAGATTTGATAAAAACAAAGCTGAAAAAAGACAATTAAATTAAATTAATTATTCCCTATAATAATTTTAATCTTATCGCTCTGTTCCTATTTTATTAACGATAGGTTATTTATTAGATGCATGAGAACAGTGCTGTAATATATATTACATGCCAAATTGATATAATTTTTTTAGAGGTTTGATTATTCCAGCAGACTCCAGTTTACAATACTTTTTATAAATAATATTTTAGGCTTGGATTGGTCAAGTGGAAATTTGCGATTAATCAATGTACAAGGTAACAGTATATTGGGATCCGACCTAATTGTACACGATCGTAGCATTGAAATACCTTTTAAAAAATGGCTTTATACTTTGAATTCAATTTTGAAGTCAAGCCCTAGTTACAAATAACATTAATATATCCATTAGTTATTGTTACTTCTCCTTATATATATATATTTGTTGATTGAAAACAAATGATTTTGTTATAAGGATGTAGTGAATTGTTAAAATTTGCATATTTCTTATTATAACTGGAGGAAGTAGAACAGCGATATGTGCAGGCTCAATATATGAACTGGTTTGAGTATATTCAAATTTGGTACTTAATGCCTTCTTGTAAAACTTCAGATCAGGTCAGGTAACTGTCGATGACCTAATAAGTAAAGAGTACAAATGGATTTGATATTATTGATTTGTATATTTTCACCAGTTGTTACAATAATCTTCGCTTACTTTATGTTGATTTTGCCGTTAGAGCAGTATTTTACATTGAACTGATTATTTGTTGATATATAAAGATGCTTGATCTCAAATTATCAGTGCTGGAATCAGTGAATATCCAAAAACATCATCAAATGCTATTCAAATATTTGACTTTTAATTTCGAATATGACAAGTGAAAAATGTTTGAAACAACTTCATGTGCATATTATTGGTGTCGCATGCATATAAATTCCTTGCATTACTCAACAGAAAAATGTTACGACAGTTCGTGATTACTTGTCCAATCATCCATATTGGCTATTACATGGCCTAAAACGGCAAAAATTGATGCCGTATAATCTAGATCTTCTTCCTTGAATATCGTTATATAATCACCATTAGTATGATGAAAATAGAAATAATAATCAACAGCCTTGTCAGGAATATAATTAATTGATGGTATGCCATCTTTAGCCCAGAAAGTAACGTCACCCTGTAATTCAAGTTGCTAGAATTAATGAGGCGAAAATTATTTCTATAGGAATTTTAAACCTTATCATATTTCATTCATCTAGAGCTAGATTAATTTGTCTTGACCGTTGCAAATCCCAATGTGATCCATCTATTGACCGGCTGTAACAAAATCTCTAGTTTGTTGATACAAATGTTATAGCAGAAACATATCACATCGTAAATAAAAAATCACTTTTAGTTGATTAAAGTTGCTAGCTGATCAATGATTTTAAAGTTAGAAAAAAATCAAAAAGTTACAACTCTTTCATTTTTTTCCACGTACAACAGTAAGAAGTAGTGGCAAGAATTCTTTGGGACTTTCTAAGAACGAGTTACCTGAAGAGAGCTATTCCTCAATCCAAGCCATATACCATTCTTCCTCAATAAGCGTATTATTTCTTGAAGCCGTTTCATCTCAAAAAAAGAATTTTTTGCAAAGGTGAGAACTTAATGTAAAGAGGATCCAGGTTAGTCAAAATATTGAATGATACAAATTATTTGAAAATACGAAATAACTTGCTAAACCTGATGAATTTCATTCTAAATTATGAGACTTAAAACTTGGTAACAATAATAATAAAATAAAATGATTTTTAATAAATGAAATAAGCTTACCTGTTGTTGATTCCCACTGAATGAAAGATGTGAAAGCCAATTGATTGGCTTAAATGCTCCTGTATCCGTTTCAGATACAAAATAAAATGTTTCACTTGTATTTTTATGAGTGTTATAGTAATGCTTTGCACCCAGAAATCCTTGTTCTTCTGCTGTCCAAAATATAGCACGAATAGTTCTAAATCCAAATAAACTAACAAATGCTTCATAAAAATTTGATTTGTTAGTTGTAAACAAAAAAAGTAAAAAATAAATAACTATAGGAGATAACTATAAATAACTATAAATCAATTGAATGAAAAACTAAAATTAATGAAGAATGAAAAATTAAAAGTTGTCAATTAGATATAAGGAATATATTTCAATTTATAAAATCAGTAAAATAATATTTTGAAGTTTAAAATGTTCATAATCATCAATGATGTTTATTAGTAGTGATGTAATTTTGATGAACCGTTTTGGTCTAAATATAGCATTTCTTTTGGCTAATTGTTGCAATGAATATAAAGCACTCCATACAGCAGCACAACCACCACCATCATCCGCTGCCCCTTGTCCAACATCCCAACTATCCAGATGCGCCGTTAACAATATCACTTCAGATGGTCGTTCTTGACCTAATTATTAGATTGTATTAATTAGTAGATGAATAAGAAGAGAGATATTAACATTTTTGCATACATGTTTGACGGAACAAAAAAAGCAAAATTTTTGAATTTTGAAAATGTTTAAAATCTAATGAAACTGCAAACAATTCTTAGTCATATTAATAATGCAGCAAAAAAGAAACTTTAGGTTAGAATTTGGGAAATTTGAAAAAATGAATTAAAGAACCGGTAATTTGAAAGATGAGATTTCTGGATGTTGTAAAATTCTCGCTATGTGACTTCATATTCATTCGGATAACAATCTTTTCACCGTTCTGAAACATTCGATTGATCATGTCGGCTTCCTCGGTCGTCAAAGATGCAGCTGGAATTCTTGCGCCTTCTGAAATGCTTCAAATATTATTTATAAAAATGGTCATGTCAACTTTATTTTCACTGCACTTTGCAATTCAAAAGAAAAAAGCCGATTTATTAAAGTAAAATTGTGAACGATGGACTAATAGATCAGTTAACGAATTATTTTAGAGTAAGATGTCTGGAAGGAGCTAGCGTTATTTTATTTTTCCTTACATATATTTGTTGATTAAAAGTAATGATTCTTGTTATAAGGAAATAGTGAATTGTTCAAATTTGCACATCCCTTATTTTAATTGTAGAAAATAGTACAGCGATATGTGTCACATATATGAACTGGTTTGAATATATTTAAACTTGGTATTTGATGCTTTCTTGTGAAACTTTAGATCAGATCAGGTAACTGTTGATGACATAATAAGTGAAGAGTACAAACGGATTTCTATTATTGAATTACATATTTCAATCAATTATACTCTGAGAAAGTTTTAAAATGGCTTTAAGTAAACGAATAAGTAATCACGGGCACATATACCTGCACCACTACCGGCATGAGGTGAATTGATGGAAAATGATGTTATTGATTTTATCAAAACGCCAATGGCACCTAACGATTCGAATAATTTTACTGATCGGCGATATTTAACCGTTTCCGCATAACCACTAAATTCTTGTGCCGTCACAACAATTTTTCCACTGATATTAACATACTGGAAATGCAAAACATGTAAATGAATGTAAAATTTCGGCAGTGCAGTAACTGAACCTTTTATTATATGCATTGTAATTTGCAGAGTTGAAAAAGTTTCAAGCGTTTTTACTTCAAAAAGCCTAAATAGCCATTAAACTTCCGGTTTGTTCAACATATTCTGAATACCTTAGAATCATCAAGATCTTGAATAACTACTACTTCTCCGGTTACATCAGCTTGTTCAGATCCGCCAATAGCAAGCACATTAAACCGATGATGTCGTGGTTCTTAAAAGTTGGCAGTAAAGCAAATTCATACAAAAAATAAACAATAAATAATTTCAAAAGTAGAAACAGACTGTTGCAAATTCTGGTTATTATTTTGAATTAAAATTTATTTTTGTTATCGACTACTTCATAGGAGTGAAATTCTTCTTGTACAAATTTCACGAGAAGATAACAGAGTGCAATGAGATAAAATCAAATCAAATATACTATTTTTTAATTTCTGCAGATAAGAAAATTGTTTCAAGAAAATTTCTTCACGTTTTATTTTGAACAAAAGTTATCTTAAAATCTCAGAAACAATTTATCAAACCAAACGGACAGCTTATGCCTTCTTACTCTTTACTTTTTTAAGATTTGTGTTTTTATTTCAATGCACTTGATATGCAGAAATTACTTTTTTAAATTCATACCAATCATTTCGACAACATCATCCCCACGAATCCAATACGGTAAGTTTGGTACTTCTTCGGTGTGCACATTATCAAAATTATCCTCCGTCAATCTTTTTACCAAGAAATCGATTGCTCTACAAAGTTTTATAAAATTATATATTCTGCATTGAAATTAATAATATTTCCCAATTTGATATTTCTGAGTCTAAAAATAGCACGACTTGCTAACAATTGCATTAATCATACTTCTTGTTCTTTTCAAATATTTTTGAAATTCAAACGAATTCAAATTCAAAAGCTACATTTTAAACCTTTTCATCACCACTATTTCTCAACAAATGATTCATATCATATGTCCGGAAACCAATCTCTCTAACGGAAATTTCCAAAAAAAGAAATTTCGGCATCACAAAATGGTGATTGCAGAATCTTTGACTTATTGCTAAAAACAAATTCACTATACTTAAAAATTCACTTTTCTAAGCTATCGGAACCAACCATACGATGTCCAAAATCATCGACCAATGTTCTAAGCCACTTATAAGCTAATCCTTCTCCATCACCTTTTGTAATATAGTGGATCAATTCAGCAACTTCATTTTCGAACTATAACAAATAGATTCGTTCAACAAGAATTATTTACATAAATTTGCATTTGTGCAAATGATTTCATTTAAATTTGATTAAAAATTAAATCATGGAAGGGATGATAAATGATAAGAAACAAAATATCACTTACTATACAATTAAATATTATATACGCTTTAAAATCTTCCTTCAACTATAAAATTATCAAAAGATTCCATTTTACAGCTTGCTTAATTTTTAAATTTAGGTTTCTTAAAATGAAATTTCAAATTTTATTGCAAAAACAAAGCTTCAAATTCACCCAATTAAATTTCATTCATTTCACTAAGTAAGTTTCATCAGCTAAGCAAAAACTCCACATTTACTTATACAGCTTTTTCATTAAGATGTGTAAATCTTTGTTTGGATTAGTGACAGATATTTTTTCTCAATAACACATATACGCCTCAATTCATTAAATTAAAAAATAAACACAATTTCGAAATATGCAAAATTGGCAATCTCAACTTTCCAAAAATGCCATAATTTTTATTAGCTCTTAAATTATGTGTTATAAATTAATTTGAAATTTATATAGCTAGAGTTGGTTTGGTTTGCTATTTCTATTTAAATTTTCAACTATTTTCCATTTCTATTTTAAATTCAATTTTAACTCTAACCACCTTTTTTTATTCAAAAAATTTGATAATTTCAACTTTTTCAAATTTTTGCCGAAATATTTCAACAACAACAACAACAACAAAAAATCCCTACTCTTTTTCTATTGTTTTGTTGTAGAATTTTTTGTGAAAAGGAAAAGAAATTTTGAATTTGTTTCATTTAAACCAATCATCCTCAAATAATACTATTGGCATAATACATCTACGGTAATAGCAGACACACATTTTAAAATACGGAAAAAACAACAATTATTTGAAAAGTGTCAAATTTTGCTTTCGTAGAAAAAGAAATAAAATATATTGAACACTTTAAAATAGACAAAGCAATTTCAAAAATCTTTAACAACTTCGATTCATTCTATCTATCTATCTATCTATCTATCTATCTATCTCTTGGTTATTTCATTTTGGTTTAAAATGGAATAAGAACGATGATACTTTCACTCTACCGTTTCCTATATTTCAACAATTACAAAAACAGTAAATAATGAAAAAGATGAAACATACTATATGGATGACGAAAATAGGTGAAACGGATGAAACAGATGAAATACACTATTTAGATGAAACAAATTCAAAATTTCTTTTTCTTTTACCTCAAAAATTCTGCAACAAACGGGTAGAGAAAGAGTAGAGACTTTCTTTGTTAAAATACTTCAATGAAAATTTAAAAAAGTTGAGATTTAAAAAGAGGTTAAAATTGAATTTAAAATAGAAATGAAAAAAGTTGAAAATTTAAATAGAAGTAGCATCAAACCAACTTGTGCTATATAAATTTCAAATTAGTTTATAGCACATAACTTATAATTTATAACTCATAATTAATTAGTATATAATTTATAATTTAATTAATTTATAGTACATAATATAGTACATAAGAGCTAGTAAAAATTATGGCATTTCTGAAAAATTGAGATTGCCAATTTTTTGAATAAAAAAAGTAGTTAGAATTAAATTTGAATTTAAAATGTAAATTAAAACAGTTATAAAATTAATAGAGAAATCTAATATATTCAATCATTCATTTATTTATTTATACATAGTTATATAAATTCAAAGAACAAACCTTTTTTAAGGTATAGTTTCCATTTGTAATAATAATTAATGTTAGGGTGATCACGAAGAAAAATGCTGAGAAAGTTGATGACATATTTACATCAAATATACTGCAATGTAATGATATATTTGCAATACAAATTATAATAGTATAAGAAGCGATTGGAAGTACCAGCTCTTTTCTAGGTGATTATTTATGCAAAGGAGGGAGGAGAGAAAGGGTAAGAGAGAAGAAACTATTTCTATTCGTTGTTTAACTTCTCTTAAATCTCGTAATTTTGTCCGATAAGAAATTTCTTCCCTTTCAAATTATAAAAAAAGAAAAAAGGATCACTTCGAAGAGAGTGTTAAACCGTTTACAGCAAAATTTTGAAGGAACCTGCACTCCTACATTTGACAGCCATAGCATCACCAGTTGCTTTTTTTTCCGTTTACTTGTAGCAAAGTTTATTTCATCCTATTTCATTGTAATCTTTGCTCGTTCCGCATGTGACATTCTTCGGAAGTTTCGCGGATTAGAAACTTTCAGATACAATTTCGAAGAAGAAAAAACTTTCGTTTTCGATTCACAAAATTAGATAAAAGAAAATAAATAATATAAAGCAACAAGGAAAAAGATAGAAAACAAGATATGCATGAAAAAATATCAAACACAATATTTCCATTTATTTTCTTAAGACCTATCATTCAGAATTTCAGCACTACGAAAAACTTCACAGAACAGAATTCTACGTTTAAGCATATCTTAGATATATTTCAAATTCTACATATTTAGGCTCCATGTGATTTATTTCAAGTATATAAGAGTGCAGAAATACGGAACAATCGCAATAAATATTTTTAGAACAATCCGAATGTGTACAGAAATCCAACCATTTGTTCTTCTAAATGTTTAAGAAGCAGAACATCGAATCCTAACATGAATTCATCGCGATTTTTTCTCCTGTAGAAGTTTAAACAACTATCAACTCTAGTTACATCTTTTCTATTAAATACAGCTTTCTTAGGATCAGGCCATTTCAATCCTTATTCCATAGATTAGAAAATGTATGCCAAATGCTAAAAGAAGTGTTCTCTTCCTAAATTAGTTTTAATGATTTCATTTGGAAGGAATAATAACTCTTGCACTTCGAAATTTTTTCAGCAACTAAACAAAAATAATTAAACATATGTGATGAAAAAAATGTCAAATAAAGAATACATAATGAACATATATGAAAATTATCAGCTGATGATGATCCGCACACCACAAAGCCAAGTAACCAGTATCATTTTTTTTCATTCTCATACTATTCAATCTAACAATAGTACAATTAATATCAATACCTTCAAAAATTTTAAGTTACAATTAATTACAACAAGACAACGGCACTGAATTAAGTCTAAGAAGATGCCACATGAATAATTAAACTAACTACTAACTTTGTGGTAGCTTGGAAAAAAAGAAACTGTTAAGTAGGTACCAATGGCTGAATTAATGATAATTTAATGATAACTTGAATGACAAGATAACATACAATTTTCAAAATAATATACAATTTCAACGACATAAAGTGGCATCAATTTGCGTCACTTGGGGTAGGCATAACATTGCCTTCCTCCGGTAACTACTCCGGTCCGCATTATAGATGGGGTTTCTTTCCAGGTAGACCGTCCTTAAAGCGGACAACTTGGAAAGCTTTAATAACTCGTTCCAATCTGATATTTCATTGTCGTTCAACTGAAACAAGAATGAATATGGGTCTGAATACTTCATAGGTCTGAATATGAGTACAACAGATAATAACACATTTCAGAACAGTTAACGTATGTTCCAAGGCATACATTTTTTTTTTTATATAACGCCAAGTAAAAAAGCAATTCAAGCAAAAACCGCTTGACAAATAAAATTGCTCACACCATTAACCTACTATTTTCCAGCAGTATTTCTGCTGATATTTGCTATAAAACAATCTTAAGAAGCAAATACAATAAGTAGTTCAAATAATTAAAAATACCCATAGATCTTCCAACTGCTCTAAGTGAGTAAGACCATCCAATTTAGTTATCTTGTTGTTGGCTGCATCAATTATTGTCAGCTTTTTCTGCAAAAAATTCAATTTTAACGTTTCAAAAAGACAAATAAATCCATATTCAAAGGAAGAACCCTTCGGCATAATTATTTAAAGTAATAAAGGCCATATTTTCTACGCTCAAGACAAACAAAATGCTTTGATAGTATAGAGACGATAATGAATGAGTTGCTGGACGGCAACACAACTTAAAAAAAACCTGAAACGTCAATTCGGACAAAGATTCAATTCCTTGGTCACTAATATGTAGTTCAGTAAGTTCACTCAGCATCGAAATACCGCTTAAGTCAATTAAACGATTTGCCTGTAACAGAAAGCATGAGAAATTTTTAACAATAACAATGTCAAATGTTATGTATAAAGATATCATACTATAAAACAACAACGAAGTATCTCCGCATAGCGTTTCTCTTCGAAGAAACCAAATAAGAATTTAGCTGAATTTTCTTTAAAAGATGGGAAATCTTACCGGAGCACTCAGCACAGTAAGTTTGACCAAGCTTTCTAAGTTTTCAAATTTCGGGATTTTATTCTTACCAATATACAGCTCACGAAGATTTCGCAAATGTCCAATGTTCTCTAATTTCTGAAAAAAGATATAATGACGAAAACTATATAATTATCACAATGTAAGACACCGAATAAAGAAATCGCTCAAGAATAAACAAAATGCAACCTTGATTCGATTATCACCAAGCTCAAGCACTTCAAGCTTCGTAAGTGATTCCAAACCATCAATTTTCGCAATTTTATTGTGCACCAAATAGATACGTTTCAAGTTACACAATGCAGATAAACCTTCAATTTTTCTAATACGATTGTAGCTTAAATCAAGAACCTCAAGATTGACCAGTACATCGAGATTTGAAATAACCTGAAATAAATAAAATCAAAAAGTATTTTTTAAAAATATAAATGCGTCAGCACAAGATAACTGGAATATTTAGATTACAGATTAAACTAAGATTAGTAGATTAATCTGTTATAATCTAATTAGGGTGTTGCAACGGCAATACTAGACAAGAAGAATAATTAGAATATTAGATTAATCCAATTAGAATATTACCACTGCAATAGCAGATAAGAAAACAGTTCAAGTACCTCAATCTGATTGTCGTTTAAATCGAGCTGAGTAAGAGTTGGGATTGCAAGCTGATCACTGAGTGAAACTAACAGGTTATGTCGAAGACAAACTTCCTTTAAAACAAACAGTTAATGAACAAAATATATAAATTGCAATGCCACTTCATAAAATCCAAATGAAGAAAAAACATAGCACACCTGATGTAGGAAGATGCTTTGTTGATAAGAGTACAGGAATTATTAGAATATGTTGGCTATCAATAAAAAACTGATAACAGTTAAATTAAATGTACCTTTAACTGGATGAATCTTGAAAGATCCGGAATAGCATCTATGCGGCATTGAGTTAAATCTACAGTCTGAAACACCTCCACAGAGAAAAAAGCTCAATTATTTGAACAACAAAAGAATGACCGAAACTGCTCTAATTACACTCTCTAACTGATTTGTTTAATCTTTACAGGTTTCATCCATTACCGAAAAGAATCAAAGAGGTAAAATGGCTCAGTGAAGTAAAAAATGTGTATCCATTTCACCTAGTAATGTAAAAAAAATATTCCCATACTTTTTGAAGAAACAATTACCTCTGACTCAACATCAATTTCAGTCAAGTCAAACAGATTTCGATTTAACATTCTGTCGCTCTCTCTTCGTGTCATATTTATCTCATCATCCATCGATTCATTATCACAGTTAATATGATCGTCACCTGTTGCCATTCCTGAAATTTTATTGAGCCTCGCAAAACCAAGTACAACATGCAAATTAGTATATTCGCATTCTGAACGATTGTCATGAGATTACATAACACAAATAAGTTCACAGTCATGTGAACAGATCACATGAATATATGCACCTACACATAAGAAATTAAGAGCTGGTTTATAAATCATACACAACATATATCTTCTATCAACGGTAATTTTTTCCGCAGACATCTGCTACGAATCGAGGTTTTTTATCTTTTTTGTGGAACAGGTTATGCTCATCTCAATGTCATGAGCTAAAGTCAAACTTTAATTAAAACTCTTCAAAACTCTTCATATGATACAACCAAAGTAACACCTTATTCCACCTTTTATATTCGAAACTTTGACGTCATAGGTCACCACCAACATTTCTTTTCTGCATACCCCTGAATTTCTCTTTGTGTAACATCGGATAACCACCAACACTATATACAAATATTGATACCACGATCAGGAAACCACACACGGCAATCGTTCCGGATGCTGGTTTACGATAAAAAGCTAATCGTGAGTACCTATCCAATACTGCAAACCAAAAATTCCTTCTGGAATTTTGCATCTTCTTTTCCAATTTAGAAACTTCTCTATTTCTTTATTAGTGTCGCTTATGCCTGCAGAGAAGTTTATTCGTTTCTTTTAATGAATTTGTGAAAATGACAAACCCGATACGAATATATGCAAAGCCTAAGCATACGGGAAGGCTTCTTATGAAGTTCCATGCGAAATATGATCAAAATATATAATACGAAATCCCAATGAAATTCAGAATCATCTCATCTTGTTGGCTTGATATCAACGTAATTCTCGCAATTTCTATCAATATCCTCTCGCTAATACCCTTTCAATCTTAACGACACATCATTCCATATCAATCTTCCCAGTCTCTATCTCTATACCTCTTATAGTTAGAACTACCGTACTATTTACTATTAAAAAACTATGGAAACGGAAACAAGTAAAAATATCACTTACAGCACATGTATTTGACCAGGACATTACCACCATATAGTTATAATCGTTATCATGTGAGGGTTTCATTGCAACATTGTATCCCTCCACCCTACCTTTGTTAAACATAAGATCATGAAAGGGTTAGTTAGGCTTGAGTCCTCCAGCTGATTTAATTGCTCCTAACAAGTTGTTTATGCGAGATGATGATCTCAGAGATTGAAATTTTTTTCAAGAAATGAATAAGTTTGAGAAGAATGCACAGGCAAACAAAGTTGACACAATATGTTTGCAACTATAATAATTCGGCACTGGCAAAAAATTTATCCTTCTTCGTTTTGTCGTGTTGTACGTCAACGATTGGCATTGAATGAGACACCTGACATTTACTCTATTCAGCCATTCTCTTTTTAATTTCTCTTCAAATGCTATTTCTCTCGGTGATAAATCCCATAACATTTTATCTCATTCCCCTTAAGGTCTACATTTTTGCATGCAGGAATGAGAAAAAAATCTGCATGCAGGATTGCAGTATTTTTCAGATTAACATAAATATAATTTCAAAAGAGAATATCGGATAAAAATTATTTCTCACTAGATTCTAATTTTGGAAATTGGAAAGGCTAGAAGTTTTTAAATTTTAAATTTAATTTAGTATGAAATTTTTTTGTAACTTACATCTTTCAGTGTATTCAATTCTGACAGCATGCTTTTGGTTTTTTTACCGGTTTTTGAACTTTCTTTGCTTTTAACTAAAAAAAAGGAAGAGAGATTTTTGAGTCTTTATTTTTTTAACTAAAAATTTGATATGCTCTTATACAAAAATTTCCTCTTATAAATTGCTGACATGCAGCTGCATCTGCATGTAGTCTTCAGCAATTTCAGTTATTCTTAACTTAAGCATATTTTTTGAAGACTTACTCTTTACTACTTTAACTGGTAGCGATTCATCTGCATCTTTTTTAGGGAAGGATATGGGTATAACTGGTACCGAAAGCATTTTTATCGGAATTGGAAACTCGTCCGTTCTGAATCGACAGATTCATTAATAAAGTACTAATTAATGCGATACTCTAAAATCAATCTACCTAACTTACAGATGATGTTACGGTTAGCAGAAATTATTAATTAGGTGAAAAGTTATGTCATGAATCATGTCTACCATTTTTGATATGTGAGGATATTGAGAAAGCTTTGCAATCACATTACCAGCTTATGATCGTAATTTGGAATTTTTTTTAGTTCTAAAATTATTTCATCAACTGATTCTTTCATAAAGGAAGTATCAAAAAGTCGAAATCGTCTTACTCATTCACTCATACGAATATACACATATACTTCTTTCTAAAAATTACTTTAATTTTTGTGTCGCTATTGGATTTTTAGGTTGCGTTATGATCTCGACACTTTCACTCTGAAGGCATCAATTCAATGGTATTTGATAAAACGCACTAAAAATGAGTAATGCCCATCTGCTATGGGCATCTTTGATTTGCTTAGTCTATCTTCCTTTAGAGATTTTATTCCTTCGATTATCACCGTTTCACTTATCAGTTTGTTCTCTTAATATCTTATATTAAAGGGGATAGAATAGGATGTTAATTATTGAAAAAATAAATGTGGAAATGAATTTCCGATGCTTTGGAAAAATAGATGTGCTAATTAAGACGCTCAGATGATAAAAAAAAGAAAGCTATCAGTGATAAGTTTTTCTATCACAATTATTACTTCCCTCTGTTATTAGTCTTTTTATCAAAATTGAAATATAAGAGAGCAAAAACAAAATCTCAAAAAAGAAATCAAACATCATATGTTCATCCTTCCATTCACCTTTCTCCACTTATTCTTCCAACACATGTCACAACTACCCTTCTCTCTGCTGGTCTAAACGTAATAATAAAAATTTTACTTTCTCAACTTCTTTAAAATATTGATATGGTCTTTATTTTTTCAACTTTAAAACATTGTCGTAATTTTTAAAATGTTGTAAATGATCTACATGAAGTCGTTGTATGCAAATTTCGAACTAACGAAAAATAGGCCTTCACTCACCTTGAAAACTTACCTTATAGATTCAATACCGGCCTATATTCTACGGCTGGCCGCTATTTCGATTACGTATAAGGAGTTCAAAGTGATACATATAAGAGTTGGGTGATATTATCGAAACTGGATAAAATTCCTGAGTGAAGGAGTGGAAGGAATGAACATTCAAAGTGTATTGGTTTATAGCTATTTAGATTAATCAGATTTGTTTAATGATTAAACCGTGGATCTGATATATTCTCGTCTGATGTAGATTGCATATCTATGAATTCATCTTGTTTTAAATTTGTTTATAGGTAATCAGCAATGGTGGTGGAGATTGGTGCAAAACAGTGCTTTGTTGAGCTTGCTAAAGCAGATACCAGTGCTGATTATGACAAAGCACTCAAAATTGCCAATAAAGGTAAGCTGTTAAAACATATTTTGATAAATGTACTTGCTTAAGAAACATTTGATATTCAGTTCAACTAGATTTAGGCCACTAGTAATTAATTAGCTGACCAGCCACCTGCTATTACTCTTGAGAATATCCATACCCTTGCTGTTACATTTTGATACATCCATACTTTTATATTTTGCTATAACCATGCTTTTTCCATGCTTTCACTTCGTATCGCTATCTTCATGAATGGTTTTAATGACAATAATGGAAGTGGAATTATTTTCTTGATAGTAGTACTCTTCCATTCTGTTTTCAGTGTTACGCACATATCCTAGAGAAACATTGGCATTTAAATGCAAACTGGTAGCACTTATACAACTCAGTCGGTTGGATGAGGCACTTACTTTAATCAAGAAAACTCCACCGCATCATATGGGGTAATTATTTCATATTATTTTATCAGCAACATATAATTAATCCTCTTTTTGGTCATTCAGTACTCTGTTCATCAATTTATACTATTTGACGGGAATTTACTGTTGAAAGGCTTGGTAAATTTAGTTTTTACCATTGAAAGGCTAGTATTCTTGACGTCAAACTGTCCTAACTTTCATACTTACTTTCAGAGATTGTCTGTTTGAAAAGGCTTACGTTTTGTATCGAATGCAGGAAGATGCCACTGCACTCGAAACACTCGAAAAAGCTTCACAAGATGATTATCGTTGCATGGAACTAAAGGCACAGTTACTTTATCGTACCGAACGTTTCGACGAGGCTTCGAAAATATTTATGTATCTTTTTCTTTATGGTTTCAGTACTGAATTTGTAAGATTTCTTTCATAATAAATTTTAAGCTTTTTTTTGCCGTTTTTCGAATCAAAATGATGTTGGAGAAATGAAAATCTTAAATTTGTTTTATTTTCAGGACCTTACTGAAAGATCATTCGGATGATTACGATGAAGAACGTTGCGCTAATTTGATTGCAGCAATTGCACAATTGCAAGCCAGTGGCCACCAGCAGGTTTTCACATTTAAAGAATGGCAGATTGAAACGCTTAGGCAAGACATCAAAAAGTTGTATAGTACTGATTGTGATAATAGGATGCAAAAAATTAAGAGTATTGAGCAAAAGGATGAAAAGGGAGAACAGATTTAACTTATGGCACAGTTTTTTTCAGCAACCGCCATCACGTCTGGATACATTCGAACAGTTTTATAATGCTGCTTGCCAGTTGATTGAGTCAGGTGGATATGCTCAAGCTCTGAAATTCCTTGAAAAAGCTGAAAGTTTGTTTTTTTCTTCCATTTCAAAGCCTGTTCTACATTAGATTTTTTGTTGCATCATAACGTAAAGATGATTGTCATGTTTTCTTCAGAGTTATGCAGTGATACGTTAATAGAGGAAGGTTTGTCAGAAGAAGAAATTGAGGATGAGCTGTCTGTGATTCGAGTTCAAAAAGCGTTTGTTCTACAGATGCTGGGCAGAAGAGACGATGCATTAAAAATCTATTTGAGAATTCAAAACCTTAAGTTAGTAAAATTTAAATGTTTCTGGTTTAAAAATTGTTGAAGTTTGAAAATGAAGTTTTTTTTTTAGCCCGTCAGACAAAAGTGTTATCGCAGTGGTCACAAACAATATACCGTCGTGTCGTGTGGAACAAAATTTGTTAGAGGCACGAAAGAAGTTAAAAACTGCGCTGCAGGTTGAGAGTTCTAAGCTAACAGCTCGACAGCGACGTATTCTTTTGTTAAATCAGGTCATTCTCCTTAAGCAGCTTATAAAAATTTTTTACAAATGTCTTTCCCTAATCATTAGTATAATTAGTGATGGTGTCTGTTGTTAAAGAATGAACAAATACAAAGGACTAAGCTTCATTTTGCATTTTATTCTATAATGGATGATGTCTCTTCGCCCGGAAAGTTTCTGCTTAGCACAGGATGTATTTCAAAACGTAGAACTCGTATAGATCAAGTTACTCTTTAATGAATGCTTCAGTAGTTTCCTTATTTTTCATGTGTTTAAAATAGTTTAGGCTTTAGTGCACCTTTTCTCGAATCAGCGTGAGCCGTGCCGTCGAACTCTTGAAGAATATACCAAAAAGTATGGTTCTTCTACCGAAGTGATCTTGATAGAAGCAGCACTCCATGTTCGCTCGAAAGAGCTCCAAAAAGCACTTGCAGTTCTGAAGGATGATCCTTCAAAAGAGGCAAAATTGACAGCAGTGCAAGTTTTGCTTGATGAAGGTTTGCATGCAGTTTAATCTAATTCAGTTCTCTTTTTTTAATTGTCGAGAAGGTTTATTTGTAAACCATTTGATAATCGCAGGAAGTCTAAAGTTGTAGTTATGCTTCTCTTTTTTTGTTTTCTGCGAAAAAGAATTGAAAACTAGCGGAGTAAAATGTCTTATTTTTACATTCATATTACGAATAATCTAACTAGTAGTTTAAATTAAGTGATTACAATGTCATTGTGAATCTTTAGGAAACCCCTGCATGATCTTGTTCTGTGTATTTTTCGTTATAAAACGAGCAGTATTAGTTGACTAGACATTTCTAGCACTGGTGTGTAATAATTCAGCAGTGCTCGGTAAAGAAAACTTCTTTTTTCAATTTACAGGAAAATTGGAGGACGCCAGTTGTGCATTGAACGAACTATCTCCAGATTTATTATCTTATCCGGCAATTTTACAGCTGAGAGTCGCTCTTCTTCTAGCCACAAATCAGCAAAATGTATGTTTAGTCGTAATCTTTTCGTTGCATTTTTGTCAATGTCATATGGGAAATCTAGTTTCTTATTATTACCATCAAAGTGCGTTTTGATTGTGATATCCGTGTACTTTTGTTTTAAATGAAAGTTTAATTGCAGTTGGCGCTAAATCTTCTAAAATCTGCCTTGAATTCGGCAAAAAATGAGAAGGCTCGTATTGCAGTGCTAGAGGAAGTTGCCTCGCTCAATATTCAATTAGAAGATTATCGTTCCGCCGCAGAGTGTTTCGAAAAACTTTCTGAACTTCGCCCTGATGATATGCAGATAATGTGTTGTTTAATCAAAGCTTATTCAACGTTTAATACATTCCGAGCCGAAGAGTTATTGGCGAAAGTATTTCCACAGGGGAGTAGCACGGATATTGATGTTGACGTGCTGGAAGATTCTGATTTTATTTTGTATGGTGAAAGATATCGTCAGAAGAAAGAAATGAAAGCAGAAAATCCTGATACTGTTGGTTATATTTCTGTTTCTTTTTGAGTAAATGAGTGCAGATTGATATAGTTAGGACCGGAATGATTCCAAAATATTCTTTATTTCTTTTTATTAATTTATTAATCTTTGCATTGACCTCTTTTTTATTAATTTCAAACGTGATAATCTTTGCTTGGATGCACAGCCAGTACTTTTAATGTAATGTTATTGAAACTTATTTATGAAAATCTTCTAAGTGTGAAATAGAAAACACAGGAATGGAAGTCCCGCAAACACTTTTGTGGATGGTATATTATACTGTTTCTGTTTGTTTAGTAACACAAATATTTCTTCTTCCAGGATGTAATTGTTAGCAAAAGGAGAGCGCACAAACGTAAGCGAAAGACCATCTTACCGAAAAACTTCGATCCAAAAATACCTCCTGATCCGGAACGGTGGTTACCAAAACAAGAACGTACAGCATTTAAGAAAAAACTTAACAAAAAGCACCGTGATCGTGATATCGGTCGAGGCACGCAGGGAGCAGTTAGCTCTTCTCCCAAAATGTGTGTATTTCCGATTTGTTATAAAAAATATCTCTTCATAGCTGTCACTTACCACAGACTCTTTTTTGCTCTACTGTTGAATTTAGATTGTTTATTAATCAAAATTATTAAGTTGTATCTCTAGAGAACCAATAACGATGCTGGCGAAAGCAAGTAATTCACATCCAGCAGGACCAGTAATGGGTATGGAAGGCCCACGTCAACAAAGACCAGCTGGTCAACAACAAAAAAAGAAGAAGAAAAAGACGGGTAACAAATGGTGATTACAAGAAATATATTTTGCATATATCTGGAAAGACTGTGTTGTTTTAGCCTGAATTTAAAAATCGTTTCATTCGAAAATGCTGAGTTCTTGTTGAAGCCAAGCCGTGGATGCATTTCTTACACTGATTTTTTAGAAATTCTTTTCGTTCAATTTCCAAAATTTATTTGATTTCAACAAGCAAGTTTTGGAAACGATTCAAAGGTAGATGTTGGGGTAAAAACACGTTTAGTAGCAATTATTTCTTGTCCTGCTCCTTCACTTTTGCTTTTTATTTTTTAAATTCAAAAGTTTTTTTTGCACAGCGATCTATGTCACATCCCTAACATATGTGTTCGAAGTAAAAAATGTAAATAGCCTTGAATAGTGAAAGCAGACATGGGCTGATTTCTAAATTACATAACATTTATATTCCTATAAACCAACTTTACAATGCTTAAATTACCTAGCATGTTAGAATTTTTCATGACAAGGAAAGGGATATTCATATGCTGAGAGTTCCTTAGTAAAGTGAGTATATAATATTACACATCTTGAAACGAATATGTGTAATTATGAACAGCCACCTCATCTGTACTCAATGGATTCCTGAATTCCACAAAAAGTTGCGGCATATGAGAAATCCTAATATTGTTAACTATGTCAAGAATCCTAAGACACCATACGATTGTTGCAAAATGAGCACCTAATGCGAACACCTCCGCTGTATTGTGTATTCTCCACGACCAACTTGTCGCTTCACCTGCAGTAGTCATTTTTAGAGTATCGTAAGATCATTTTCATTTTAAATTTTTTGCTAAAATTCAAAATCCGATACCAATGTTTCGGTAGTCCAACTGTGTTAGGATGTCCACGAAACGAACTGCATTAATCATCAGGAGACATGTGCAATGCAACAAGTTTGCATATAGTTCTCGACTAACGACAATCTGAAACAAGTATTTCTTAACTAGTGATGTTGAAGTAAGCTCTCATTGCATCAGCTTTGACAAGTATTTTAAGCAGTTTGCAAATTTTAAGTAATTCTGTAACATATAAAACTATATAGCTGATTATAGTTGACATACCGATATACTAGCTGATTATAGTTGATATACCTGATAGAGAGGAAAAATGAGGAGAGTTATAGTAAGAGAGAGATGATAAAGTGAGGTAAGCAGAACAATTAACGGATGCCTTGATGAATTCCATATAAATTCATACGTAGTAGCGATGAGCACTCCGGCACCAGCAGTTAATAAAGCCAAACCAATTTTCTGCAACTCTTCATTTTAAATTCATTTATCAAAAGTCTTAAAAATTGTTTGTATCAAACGAAATGGTTCTTTGATAGATATCAGAAGAATACCAATTACAGTAATACTTAACCTTTAACCTATAACCAATTACATCATTATCGTGAGTCACATTATATATTGAGTAAATTTTTAGATAACATTAAAAAATGTCACTATAAATGATAAATTCAGTGGTCAATATTTGAACAAATTGTTAAAATATTGAAAATTTCGATCTAACCTCAATTAATTTTTCCAATTTTATAGCCGCAATACTTTTTTCATCAACATTATAGATAGCAGGACGTTGATTTATTTGTATCACTCGCCAGATAATGTAAATCATACCACATGATGTAACAAAAACAGAAAAATATAAAAGTGTTTCAATGAAATGTGATATGACGCCAGGTATAGTCAAGTAATAACCGGTACACCAAGCGGAACCACGATAAAACATTTCACATACTTCATCAACATAATATCCGTTCCATGACAGATAGAGGTATGAGATTAGCAGAAAGGTTGTTGATTGAATACAGAATAGTAATGTTGTTAGTCTAAAAGAAAATTTTGATAAATTTAATGAAAATTTTCCATAACCGATTGATTGAATATTTCTTGTTTCTATTTTATAGCTGCATGATTAGTAAAATGAGATTTTATCATCGTAATGAGATTCTAAAATGAGATTCTATCATCGTTGAAGAATTTTATTTATATGATATAATGTAAAACATACAATGCAGGGATTACGAAGAAATTGACCTCCTTCGTGGAAGCAAAGAATAGGAATGCGGTAGCTAAGGTTGTCAAGAATGGTGTTTTTTGCTCATTTCCATGAAAAATTTTATAAAATGCCTCCAAACGAGTTGATATAATATCGAATGCAAAAAGTGCAATGGAAATTGCACCTGCTATGAAACCTAAAAAAATACATTTGTTATAAATAGATTTCGAATAGAAAAAAGGATATGCTTGTATTATTCAGCTTGATATCTTGAAATTATCGTATTTGGATTGTATACTATTTATGCAAATTTATATTTGCTCAAGCTATAATTACTAAAGTAAGGAACAAAGTTCTCTCGCTAATTGACAAAAACAAATAAATGTAGAATCAAGGTAGGAGAGTCATTGCCCAACGCCCAACAAATGACCCTTTTGTCGTAATTATCGGGATTTGACCATGTTGAGAGTAGTTCATTTACACATCAGATATAGCTATGAAGACGATGGAATCATTCTGATAAGTTAATTCAATAACCCTTAGCCAGTAAAGTGTACAATAATATCGAGTTGCTTAAATTGAATCTTCCATGAAAGAGAAGTAATATATTAATAGCATACCTGAGATGAAGAGAAATGTTTTGAACTGGGGAGAGAAATTCATATGAAGTGGCTGTCTACATGAACTGATAAGTGTTAAAATAAGAATAATCAACAACAAAATGTGGATAATGCCAGTACTTAAACTAAGGACTGACAACCAGTTTGGTGTCCATTTCGCAAATGTTGTTCCAGAAATCTGCAACAATTTTGATAAATCATTCTGACTTTGAAATTTTTGTTTAAGCTTTGAAACTTTCAGAAATAAAAATTTTTTATGTTTTTTTTTTAATTTTTGAGTTTATTGTTTTTATTAAGTAGTTTTTATTAGGTATAAGGTAGGAAATTTGATTCAACAAAAAAAGCTTACCACAGCATTAGAAAACCATCGATAATCAATCCATAAATAAGTGATAGTTGGATAAATACTTATTGAAGAGAGACAAAAAGTTATTATTCTTGTTGGGGAATTTGTTGGAATTCGTAGTATACACAAAATACCTTAAATGAAAATTCAATCAGCAGTTTAATTAACTAAGGAAATAAGTAAAAAGTAATAATTTAACAAAATAGATCAGTGAAGATAGATAGATTATCGGAGAAAATACCAAGTGCGATATTAAGCATAATCCATAGTGGTTCATCTGTGGTATAATGTATGAATGTGTAACGAATTACATTGCCAAGGGAACGTAAAAAGTATAATTCAGCAGTCCAAGAAAAAAATTTAAGCATTGAAGTCACAATGAGAGCACAACCGATCACAGATAATAATAGGGAATGTCTTTCCATCAGAATATCCACGAAGTTACGATGACAAGATGAAAGTATCAGTGCTACTAATGCTACCGATATCGCACTTAGGACCATATCAATTGCACTGTAACTGAGTAATCCATATACCTGAAATGTTCATTTGTCTCTTCCTAGTTAAATGGCAAATAAACGAACACCCTGTACCTTCAGGGATAAATAGTGGAAGAGAGGTATGGGACAGTTATGAACAATTTGTGGGCATAATTAGGCCATGACAATAAAATAATGGAAAGTGACCATACCTGTATCTTTGTAATAAAAGCATTCTTTATTAATGTATCGAAATCTTTGTAAATAGAAATTACATTAAAAAAATCAGCAATGACTGTAGCAGAACAAATAGCCAGGGCGAATATATTCATGATGATAGCAAGGATGAATGAAGTGGAAAAATGGTTGAAAGATGGACAGATAAATGAAGCGATACCAGCAAAAAGTGATATGATAGTGATCCAGTGAGTATTGGTGAAGTGTTCCGTATGATACGATTTCTCCGCTTGAATACAACCGGCCAAAAAGGCATTTAAAACACTCAAGACACCAACAATTATAAGTATTCGAGAAGTCCGATGTGTTTTGTCCATATTTTCACACAATTGAAAATTTAGCTTTTTTTCCAATAAAGTGAAGTATAAGTGTATTTGTTCCCTGGTCACAGCGGGATAATGGTAGATGAGGTAGAATTGAAGTGAATTAAACTGAAGTAAAATCAAATGAATTTTAAAGATGGCTTGAACTGTAATGAGTTGGATTAAATTATATCTGAAATTGAACTGAGATAAATTCATAAGTCAAATTGAAAGATAATTCAATCTATGCTATCAAATTTAATCCGACCAAAAAAAAAATCTTTGTTAAATTTTAAATTAAAGCATAAGCACTATGTAATTAAGGATTAAGTAAAAATTATTTGAGCAAAGGGTAAAAATTGTTTCATTCCGATTAAAAATTATTTCATTCCCAATCCATACCATAGATAAGATGGGAAAAAAATCTGACAGGACATTCGATACCAGTAAATTGTGAAAGGCCACCTTTCATTACCATCTGCAGTCAGTGGTTTGAATAAATTGTTTACAGCGTATTATGCCTCTCTACTACCCATTTCTCTTAAATCTTTCCTTTCATTTCTACTATTTACCACAGTTAATAATATATCGTCACATTGGTATTATACGAATACCCATCCACAACAGGTTGTAAAGAATCAGACAATTCCAATTTACACTCCACTTTCTCTACTCTTTTGGTATTTTATATGACTAAAATTAACAATTTCGCTATTTGAATTAGGAAAATTGCAAACGAAGTCTTTCAGTAAATTGCTATTCAATAGTTTTATGGAATAACAAACAATTTTGATTTATACATAATACAACTTATATATATTAAAAAACTTATCCATGAAAGTCGTTTCACGTCAAATACTACAAAAATGATCGACAACGATCACTGAACCGCAAAATCAACTATTGGCAAAGTATTCGCTAACACCAGTGCTTTTATTTGACAATAGTTTATGCGTGTGCTTTGTGGTGATGATGTGTGCGTTTTGCAATAAACTAAATACGCTTGATATGGATTGGGCCAAAAAAATCATCATTGATAGTTTAGCTGATCATGGTAATGATAATTAACTGCAAGGTCTCTTCTCTGAAAATGGTGGTCACTGCTTCTTAAAAAAAATACTTGCATATTGCTTGTACATATATACGGTTAGAATAAAGATTTTATTTTCGAGTCAGGCAAAGTACAATGTTCGAGAAGAAAGACACTGTTTCACGCGGTTAAAGATATCGAGATAATTATATGAATAGGTATAAGGAATTCATTTATTTACTTCGTCAAGTGTTCGAGCCAAAAATTTTTCAAAAGTAACTTCTCTAAAGATATATTTTAACAAAAATATGTCTTCCTAAGCAATTTAAATAGCTCATGTAAAAAACTGATCCATAAAAATCAAAGAAATGTAGAGATCATAACATTTTTATATTAAATATAAAATACTTCGCCGAACAAATCTCAACAGGGCATAACAAAATAAACAATTTTTATGAAGATATAGCATAAATTTGATTGTATTTTATTGAAAGTATCAAATTGGAATGGTAGATTTGACTCAAATTTACAGTAATCAAAGATATCAATATGAAGAACTAATAAATATATATTTTGAGAGAACGTATATCGCTGCAGTAGCAGTACCGGCAACTAACCACTTTCGAAGAGATGTCTTTGGAAACGATGGTTTTCGTATCCCATTAATATTTATAAGATGCCGATAATCTTCCATTAGCGGACCACGTAACCGCCAGGGAGGAAACATCCTAAAATTTGGAAATAATTTTTTTTTCTTGAAATTATATTAAAGAAATAAATTATTACATATGAGTACAAGTTAATAAATAAATAAATGAACAAACAAATGGAATACAAATTATATACACATATATATTACAAGATGAAAATTGAAGAAATAACCGAAAAAGATCTTGAGCATCGTTGATTAATGCCTGAACAGGGATATCATTTGGCATTACATTTAGTAGGTGATGGATAGAAGCCATATCTCGAGAACAATTCAGAACTGCACTACTTCGCCATAAAACGACAGCAGAAGTTAAAAAAATAGGAGTAAGCGCGTGAGTAGCAAGGAAAAAGTCGAAACAAAGAACGATCTGAAAGCAAGGCAAGCAAACTACTGAAATAATTTACTGTTATATTTATTTCCACTTCTCCTGTTTCCTACTGTTTGTTTTTTAGAGTTTTCTTTAATAAAAGTGATCAAATTCAAAGAATTAAAACTAATTTACTGCATTCTCTGAAAATGTCAAATAGCTCTAGAAAATCTGAAAAATGAAGCCCTAAAAGAAGGTAGAATTGTGCAAAAACCAGAGTGTTGCATTCTGAAACTTGAAAATGAAAAAGACACACTTGATGGTAATGATGCAAAGCATGTGAAAACCATGTCAACGGCCAACTTAAAGCAAATAGTGACCCCAAATCCACAGCGCGCACTACTCTTTCCAACTCTTCATCAACTTTCCAGAGCAATACATACATCAAATCAAGATCTCTCAATACCGTATCTTCCAGACTTTTGAGAAGGTAACTGAAAAATGCTAATTTTTGAAAAAACATCAACTGAAGCTGACGAAATATTAATTAAAGCATTTAGCAAAAAAATCACTATTTAGTAATGATCATTCTATCAATATGACATAATATTTGGAAAGAAGTAAAACACTCTCTATAAAAAAACATTCATTATTAGACAGAAAGCAAACCCTTTAAAGATTCCATTATTTGCCAAAAGTATACCAACATGTTCTGCTTTTTCATTACCGAGCACCAACAGCAAGGTTAAACAAACATCATGAAAACCTTAAAACGCGATACATCATACAACAAACTCCAAAAGCAATGTTCAAAACAACCGGTAGTATTTAGAATCTAAAATTTAAATATTAAATCAAAATATAGTTCAAAATATTAGTTCCCATTTTTCAAAAAGTATAACTTTCTACTCATCATGCATTAGCATGATATAATGGATTGCAGAACGGTTTAGAATTTGAAAAATTACAAGCTGAATATAAAACCTTAATATTTTTGAAAAAAAAGAGCTTAATAAAGACGAAACGGCTTTTCGCAAAATGACTCATTAGACAAAATATTTGTAAATGATTTCCATCACCTTGATAATAATGAAATCGAGGACAGCTCCAGAGAATTTTTACAATTAGAGGAGTTAAATCTTCTTGCAAGGTACATCGTTCTTTATCTGATATATTAGGTGGAAATCGTGCCAGTGTGCGCCTAACATCCATTTGTACCTGATTCCACTCTCGGTGACTTTGCAGATCTTTTAATGTTGGGCTTGGCAACTAAAATATGGAGTACTGTATTAATGTGTTGAAAAAAACTGTTTTTTCGAAAAGATTTACATTCACTTTTGAACTGAATATGTTTTATTATTAAATGCAACTTCAAATTTATTACTAACATACAATCGTACTAAAATAAAAATGTTCCGCGTTTTGAACTTGTCTGCGGTTAACCAAACTGAAAAAATTCACGCACTAAATGATCCAAAAAATCTTTTTGGATTCTGAGAAAGAAAAAACCCTATGATAGTCTATAATACATCGCAATGTACTGAAATGAAAGCCATAGCTAATTTCTTTAGAATTTAATAACTTCATCAACGTCGTCGATACTGCTGATAACTCATCTCTCAATAAGTTTCAAAACCTTATATTCCAATAAAAAATATTTTGCAGACAAAACCAGAAATCAATCAAAACTGGTAATTTTATATGTAAATTTAATTTCAAATCTATCTAAGAATTGTTTTTTAAAACAAAAATAGCTTCGCAATTTTTAAAATTGCTCCCTAAATTGCTCTATCAAGCAATAGTTATTAAAAAAATATGTAAGAACTTACAATGGTGGCAGAATTAACTGCCGAGCTATTCTCTTCATAAATGAAATCAGAATGAGCAGATTCAAAATCAGAATCCGAAAACGTTGATGCTGTCTCCTGATCATTGAGAGGATCCTGCACAAGTGAAGACGCCAAAATCGGCCAAACAAGGGTACGAATTTCATCCAGCACTAAGCCTATGACAAGACATATCGATTCTAACAACATAAAATAGCAGACAAAGCAGATTCTATACATGGAATTTTACTGTTTCGTAAATGTTTCATTGGTGTTTGTCGATATGAAAGGAAATTTTCTAATTCTGGAAGCCCTGGGTTAATCGTGAAATATACATCACAATGAACTGAATCAAAAAGTTGAATAAGGAAAGCAGGCTTGAAATGAATAAAAATATGCTAAAATAATTTCACAGGTATAAACTATCTTTGGTCATAGGATGTATTACAGCATTTAACAATGTCAACACATAACGAATTTATGAAAACCAGATGATGATGCAGATTTGAATTTTGAAGCAATTTTTTTTTTTTTAATAAGAAAATATTCCAAATCTAGAAGAGGTTTGAAAAAATTCGTAAAACATCGATCAAAGCAGATACCACCGGTAGATGAGGCGAATTGCCGTAGCTGGCTAATATGTAAATGCAACGAATCATGGTTTTCATCAATAAATGTCCGCATACGATTGCATTTAATTTGCAGAGTCCGATTAACCGCATTTTTTAATACACTTTCATTCGCTTTACGTCTCTGAAACCTTATCTCTATCAATAAACATACGCATATAAAATGATGATAGATCATTAAACAGAACTAATTAATAAAAATAATAGAACAGTAATATTAAAAATAAAAGCAAATCAATGAATCATAATTATTCTGTCCTAATTTTAATTTGAAAAAATTATAAAATGATTGCAATAAAAATATATCAAAAAGTTTTCATACTTTTTTTGCAATGATGACAGAAGTAGAATAGTCGGTTAGTGAAGACATATTCCTCAGTATATCGAAATATTACAACAGCAAATAATTCCAAATAAGAGTCATTTTCAAATTACACAATAAGATACTTAAATCAACAACGTGAAACAACTCACAATCACATGAAACGACAACACATATATCATTTGTTTACTCCACTATGCCACCTCGCTAAATACGACAGTATGGATGGACTCATCTATTAGTCGTTGTTTTAGTAGGTCGCATTTAAGATTTTCTGATTATTTGCCGCATATTTCTATCTAATTAATTAATGCGAATTAAGGGGAATTTTGCATCTCAACACCTCAGTATACATAATGTGAATGAATTCCTAGCAATTATCCTATAATAGCTAATGCATTTAACAAGCATTTTATTGCATTTCATCTATTAAGCTTATCCTGTTAAAATTTTTTTGTTTCCTATTGATTGAAGTTGATGGCAACATCCTTCCTGTATCTCTTTTCTGTTTAATGTTAGCAAATTATTTTGATGTTGGATAATAGTTAATTACTTATAATAAGCTGCAAGTTCGACGAATTATGATAGGTTATTAAGTGAATTTCAGTACTATCTTTTGAAGTGAATTACTTATTTCAGATGGTTTTCAGGTACCATATGACTGAAAGATAGTACTGTATTTGACAATTTCCATGATATAAGTTACTGGTTCCTGTAGATGTTCCGTTTACCTAAACAAAAACATTAAAGAAACATTTCAAAAAAAACCAGACAAAAATCTTTGATAGGAGTATATTTGTTGTAACAAAACGAAAAAAGTTTTTTAAAGAAAACTCAGAATTTTAAAGTTTCAAGATCTAAATCAGCTTACCATTGTTTTGTTATAATTTCATTCTTCAATTGAAGACGTTTCCAGATATTTATCTAAACGTTCAAGTTGATACAAACTGATTTCAGATGGTGTTAGATTTCAGTGCTTCAAATCAATTTCATCTTTTAGATAGCTCACCACTATAGCTTACCATTGATTTAGCGATAAAATTATTTGATTTATAAAAAAATTGTAAGAATTATAAGAATCAAAAATAGAGTTAAATGAATTTTGGTTTTTTCTAAGTAATGCCTTTTGAAGTTCTCTCTATGAAACTAGAACTGAGTTATTGTTCCAATTAATAGATGCATCAAAAATTTTAAGCAACAAAATTGTAAAAAACTTCAACACTTCACTATTTTATATTAACTGATAATGTTCGCATAGGTCGTAGCTTTTTTCCCCGAATATTCATCGATTTTCATCAGTGTTATTTCGCTGTTGGATGTTGAATGCAGAATGATAAATTTTCATCAGGAAAAAAAACATTATATTTGCAGAGTTTTAGTATCTTTGAAACTTCTCAACAGAGTATTTTCATCGATATGGCGACCAAATTGATTTTCCGTCAGGTGAATAATCTTTCGTGCAAATTCGAAAAAAGTATCGAAAATATTAGTGACATTTTACAATTTATGGTTTATGAAACATCCCCTCAAATCAACTTATTTCCTTTTTTTTAGCTATTTGAACCTGTATCATGCACCTATACATATTTGTTAGGATGCTCGATAAGTAGAAAATCGGTAATAATAGATCCTGTGTTGGAAACCGTCGAACGGGATGCAAAGGTAATCTGATGTGCAATTTTGGTTTAGTTCAGTTTATAATCCTAAAGCTCTTGAACGTCAGTAAAACAATTGACTGTTTTTTTCTGAATTATTTTGCAGTTAAATTAAAATCGTATAAAATCGTTCACTAGGGAAACATCAGCTATAAACGACAGATTTCAGCTTATCAAAGAGCTCAATTTGGACCCAATATATGGTGTTAACACGCATATTCATGCTGATCATGTTACTGGTACTGGCAAATTGAAGCATATTTTTCCACATATGCTTTCTGTGCTATCAAAATATAGTGATGGTCAGGCAGATGTACGGGTCAGTGATCGAGAGATATTAAAATTTGGCAATCAAAATTTAGAAGTTCGTGCGACACCAGGACATACCAATGGTAAATACAACGTAGCGTTTTCAAATCATACGCATATTTGTTACCATTTATAAATTATTATCCTCTCTTAGTAAACTCAAATCAAACTGTCTATGGTATTTTTCAATTGAAGTGATAGGCAAAATTTTTTGTAAATATTTTTATTAATTTATCTTGTCATTATATGATAAGGTAAGTTAACAAAGATTCTGCTCAATTAGATACCTACTGATCTTTCCTTCAGAATTCAAATCTGTATCCATCTCTTTATGTGAAGCGTTTCTTTAGTAAGATCGGAAGCTGATAGTCTCAGTTCATGAAAAAAATGGTTACTAGCAGAGAGGAAATGGTACACTGAATCAAATATATCATAAACTGAAAAGCTGGAAAATTGGAAATGCAAAAAGAAATATTGGAAAGAGATGAATGGTGCAGGTTTCAAACTTACTAAATGAAAGATTGCTGATGATCCAATCAAGTAAAATTTTTTCCCTTTATCATTTAATGACAAGATGAATATATGACTTGAAGAAATTTTTTTTTCCCAGCAGTGCGTTGTGATATTTTACTATAGGATAAAACACATAATAGTAAGGCTGAATTTAAGCCCATCTAATATTTCGCCATCTTCTTCATAAAAAAAGATACTTCTTGTAATCTGTCGTCATATGGTCTTTTTTTGTCCGCATCATTTATCATTACATAACAGAAACAAATAAATAATGTTTTTAAGGATGTGTGACGTATGTTTCACATGATCACCGGATGGTTTTTACGGGAGATACAGTTCTTATACGAGGATGTGGACGCACAGATTTTCAAGAAGGTACATTTACTTTTGTGTATTTCTCACTTAAATTTATTGTACACTTATTGAAGTGCATAACTGAAACTGTAAAGTTTGAAAGTTCTGTGCATATTACGGAAAACATTTGTCTTGCAATTCCAAAAATACCGAATTATTGAAAGAATTATTACTTAAAATGAGCATGTTTCTATAAAATATTCAAGCTGAATCTATTTTAACTTGCCGATTTTCTTTTAAATAATATAAATTGTTGGGGTACTAATTAGATAAGAGGCATACATATTTCAAAAAAAAATTAGTATGAACTATTTTTTCACTATGTTCTAGTTCTCTTCAATAGACCAACTTGACTTGCTAAAGTAGAACAAGAATTATATGAAACCTACGGATGAAATTTAGTGAACAGCAAAAGCATATGCTGAAAAACATGTTTCATTTAAAACTCGGTAATACAGTATGACTGTTTTGTGTAAAAACTCGGTAGCACGAAATATGATAGTTTCAATTAAAATATAATGGATATAGGTATTACAAAAACTCACTTCCTAAATGCTGCGGAAGAACTGGATAGTTGGAATTGAAATTTAGTTGAAAAAAAGCTCGAATTTTAATCTATATATATTTAGTCGTTGAAAAGGATTAAAAAAACAGCAGCATATTTAATGAACCTTGATAATTCGGATAAACCAATTTGTCACATTAGTGGATCTGCCTTATTTCTAAGTATGGGTTCTTTATCACTTAAATTGGTACGAAAGGGACCTAGATATCACTTCCATCATTTTTGTTGAAAACCTGTATTCTTTTTGATGTCATATAGTGTGCTAGAATTTTCTATCGCTGCTACTTATAGGAAACCCGGAAGTGCTGTACAAGTCAGTACACGAGAAAATCTTCAGTTTGCCCGATGATTTCCTGCTTTATCCGGCTCATGACTATAAGGTATCTTTTTAAATTGTCAATTTTCCAAATAGCCAGGTTATGAATCAAGATTTTTGATAATAATAGCTCCTAATAAAATTATCTACAAAAATAGAGTAACAAATTATAAACGTTTAAAAAACTACAGAGAGTTTAAAAGCAACGAAAACAAAATAAAAGGATGTATCTTGAAGGAATATTAAGAGAACGCATTAAAAGAATTTAATTGTTTTCAGGGCTTTTTATTAACAACTGTTGGTGAGGAAAAGAAGTACAATCCAAGATTGACGAAAACTTTGGACGATTTTGTAGCTTTGATGAAAAATCTTAAACTTGCATATCCAAAACAGATTGGTTTGTTATCTGTTAATTCTTTTTTTCGTTTTGAAAATCAAACTTTGTATAAATATTGTTTTTTTGAAATGGAAGATTGAATTTAATTGACGAGCTGATGGGCTATGAGTTGTAAGACGTTGCGCGGTTCCAACTTCTCGGTAGATAACTAGTATTTGAGCAGCCAGTAAATATGTTAGCCATACTTAATTGTTTTAAATTGCCCGGAATATTCAATGAATGCTTCAAATTTGCTTTGAGATAATTTTAGATAAAGCTTTACCAGCGAATAAAGTATGTGGGATGTACGAACTAGTAATGGACAAGAAAGCAAACGCATGAAAAAATGAAAAGGGCCGATGAGAATTTCTTTCGTCATGTTATAAGCTATTCATAAAAGCTGTGAAAAAGACGACATATCTCACAATTAGACCTTATTCTTCAGAAAAGTTGGAAATACAAAAAAAGTAAAGAAGATTTTATCGTAAAAAAAGACTGGTGAATTAATTGCTGTTTGTAAAAACCTTTTGAGGAAGTGTTCTACTGTTTCTACATAGATTTTGTATTCAACCCTTCATCTAAAAGTAACTACTTCTGGTGATATTTCATTATACTGAATTGTATAAGAAATATGAGATATTTCATTTTCTACGTTGACACATCCTTATTAAAGCAATCTGTATAGTTATGCGAAACTACATTCTTTTTTTTTCTTTGAAACGGATACATTATGTTATCGTCTATATATCTCTTATATATATAGTGCCGAAATTGTTGCGCTGTTTGAAAAATTCGACTGCGTGCTAGTATATTCATCCGAATAACTACTTCGAAACAAAGTACACCCAAAAAAAGCTGAAGCTATTGAACAGTAGTTTAAATCAAAAAATTGCCGTGTAATACGATACATCAATTTCTTGTCATTGTTCTTTTTTGTTCGTCCGCTTTTACACTCACCATTTGGATAGGAGAATATGCTATTATGCATAAAAATGGTAGAAACCTGATTGGAAGAACGTGGACAGTACAAGAAATTGATTAATCACATTTCATTTCAGATCTCAGCACATCTTTTATTGTACATCCTGTTACATCATTATCGATGTTTTGAGACTCATCAATCTCTACATTTCGAAATTTATAGATTCCGACATCCCGACGTTATCTGTTTTTAGCTTTCCCTTTCATTCTTCATCAACATGCAGTTGCGAATGTCTAAGGAAAGTGTGATTTAATTTGATAAAATGTGACGGAGAGAAAGAGGGAGGGAGAAAGCATCATGCGAATATTTAGTAATAAATTGAAATGTATTACTAAATATTTAAATAAGAACTGGCTCACGCAGAAGCCTATTTGGTTTCACTGCGATCTCATCACTGGACGCTTTTGTAGGCAAATATTTGAAATTCGCTTGATGCACAAGTTTATGAGATTATTGAGGTCGTCTGGTTCATCGCTGTTTCTGCTTCATTAGTCGACCAGATGGCCATTCCTGGTATTTTCGTCTGAAGAAGATGTGCGAAGTGACGTCTTCAGTTGAAAAACCGGAGGCTGTCGCCTCGTCAAGGAATAATTTGAATGGCGATAAAGACATGATCGAATTGCTTGGATTCGAAAGGAACATTATGCTCGATACTTACGCCGATGATGTTCTTTTTGTTCTTGCTAGGTATATTTACCATTCGCCAGGTGATTCTCAATTACTTCAGTTATAATCTTTCTTTTTCAGTGGTTTGGGATTAGAACGTTTGATCCTTCATCATTTACATCTATATTGTGATCCGCAATTATTGGTATTTGTTATCAATACGGCTCCACAGGATGATGTTAGTAGCTTTCAGGAATATTCTCATAGAAATCTAGCTGATTCTTAGTTACTTTAGAAGAGGTAACCTCTAAGCTGTTCTCGCATAAGTAACTCTCAAGTTATGGAAAATTTCTCCCCATTTCATTCCAGTCTTTCAAATCTACATTTTTGGTTAATGATGGATAAGGGATGGTGCAGTTTTATATCTCGGCCTTTATTTCAAAGTTGCATACGTTGTTAGGTTCTCCGACGGTAGCAACTAATACTAAAGAACTGACGAAATTATGAAATTTTAGGCATATTTTCTTTCTCACTTGCGCGACTCCAAGAATAAATGTCCACCAAAGATCATCACAGCGGACTGCTCCATAAAGGATCGGTCAGTCTTTTTCATTTTCTACGTAGAGGCACATAGATTTGGGATGTAGTGATGGATAACTTATCAGTAAAAAACTCATTTCTCGTTAGGAAGCTGTCAAACCTAATCTTAGCTGTTCCTTTTTCTTTTTTACATAATTCATTCTTTCATATGTTTTTTTCAGGGAATCACTATACATGGAAGGAGGAGTCCATTTCATTACCTCGCGGATTCTGATGGTTGACCTCTTGCAGGAACGCGTCCCAGTAAAAAATGTCGCTGGAATCATTGTTCATCGTGCGCATCAGTCTGTTTATTTCCTGATTAGTTTTGCATTGAAAATCAGTTCGCTAGTTTTAGAATTTGTTATAAATAAGATGGAATGTTGTTCAATCTTTCAGGTTGCTAAGTGGATTTCAAGAATCATTTATTCTTCGCTTATATCGAGAAAAGAAAGCGGGTGGTTTCGTTAAAGCATTTAGGTCGTTGGTTTTAAAAATGTTGCATTGCTTACTCAAGTTTTTTATTTTGAACTTACTGGATTGCATAGTTTTTTCTTTAGTGACAATCCAGGGGCACTTTCTGGTATGGGCGTTTTGCAACGATTGCTAAATCGATTATATATTCGAAGAGTTAGGCTTCTTCCAAGATTTGATGTGGATGTGAAAAGTTCACTGGATTCGTGTTCTGTAAGTATTTAATACACATTAATATGCATAAAAATCTGTATGTTGGCATTCGTTTTTGTTCTGAAAGGGAAATAAAGGCTCAGTTAAATGAGAGTGGGACAAAATTGTTTATTTTGTTATATAAAATACCCAAAAGTGTTTTTGTCCTGTTTTGTTCTTCATCGTAATAAAGTGAGTTAAAAAGTGCATTTCCAGCCGCATATGATAGAAATAACACCTGATTTACCGCATGCGATGCGGAGGGTTCAATCACTGTTAGTAGATATAATACGTACTTGCGTTCGAGAACTGAGGCAGACTTCACTATCAATTGATGTAAGTTATATTAAAACTATTAAAACTTCCATGTCCTGCTTTCTACAGAAAAATCCATTGATTTTTACAATAATTGTAGAATACCCCAGAGGACGAAAGTATACATCCAGCTGCCGGTCTTCTGCCTTCTTCACTAGAAATACAGCTGAAAGGACGACAGTTCTCTATTACTGAAAAGCAACAACGCCTTTTAGCAGATCTCAAACAACTTCGGAATCTTTTATATAAAGTAATAAATAGAATATTTTTGTGAATAGATATTTTCTGAGATGCTTTTGTGATCTCTAATGCTTGTGATGTAACTTCTGGATTTTCCAGGCTGAAGAACTGGATCCGATTACACTTTACTGCTGTTTGGATGAAGTTAGAAATAACAAAGATGTGAGTTTCACTATTAATTCGAAAGAACTGAAAACTTTTAGCTCAAGCAGTTCTTGATATAACCCAATCGATTTACCTTTGAGGTTTAATTAGTTTCGGAAATTCGAGATTTTTTAAAAATCCATGCTGAAAACCCGAATGAAGTTTTCTAGCTGATTGCAACTAACAGTGGTTGGTTATTCACACAGACATCTTCAAAACTATTTGCGGAGGTAGACAGATTGTGCAAAATTAAACCTGATACTGTGTTAGGTAAGTAATTACTTTAATTTTCTCGAGCTTTTTAGGGACTTTGTCGAAGTTGCTGATAAAACACAAATCCAACACAATTAGTTGTCCTTATTTTCCTTTTAGTTCTCCGTTGTTGTTTATGAAATGCGCTTATTGGCTTTTTGGGATTCGGTTGGGTAATTATTTTATTTGTATTGTTATGTAATATAAAGATGCGAAAGTTTGTGAGTGTCAAACTTTAAGAAATGTTTAAGGCATCAAGAGTAAATCCATAGCTGGAAATTTCAGAGCCACCGAAATGGCAAGCACTTCTTAAAGTCTTGGAAGAGATCAAAATCAATTGCAAAGATAAAATAAATTCTGAAAAAGGTACGTCATTATTTCCAGCATACAGATTTCATAATTAAGGCAATATTTATTTTAAAACCCATGGATGTTAAAAATTTTTTTTACTTTTAATTAATTCAAAACGAATGTCCATTTTCCTAAAATGTTTTTTAAAGCTTTACAAAATGCTTTCAGAACCAACGGTGTTATTAATTGGTGCAGGAAATGAAGTGTGCCGACAGTTGCGAGACATCATTAGTTGGGGTGTGACAAAATTTTTGTGGATCCAAAATGAACAGCTGGGACAAAAGTTTATCAGTGAAAAGAGTGGTACTGGACCGGAAGCACAATCTTTATGGGATCCTTCACAAATTATTCTCTTCGCCACTAATGTCGAGGTTAATCATCATATCAAGTCCTTGTTTTTTTTCTAATTTTAAGCCCAGACTTTTTTTACTTCTTTTTGTAGGACGAAACAGGCAGTGAAATTGTAAATAACATGAAGATGTTACAAAAGGAATTCACTCGACGAAGTCGGAAAAGGCGTCGTTTGTTTGAAGAAGTAAAGAAGAAGCAAAATGATTCAGGCAAGCAAGCTCGACTCATGCGTTTCGGCATAGTGCAAATTAAGAAAGAAACAAAAGTTAGTACTATTGTAATGTGTTTTGAAAATCTCAACTATCTTCGCTGTTAGCAAGATTTCATTTTTTGACTGGTGTGGTGCTCAAATATTTATGAAAAATACTGGCAGTTTCTAAAAATTTATTAATCACCGATATTGTATGTCGATCAAAATGTTTCACAAATGCAAGACTCATTTCACTGTTGTTCGTTTTTGCAAATTGAAATTCTTTAGGAAGAGGAAGATGCAGCTGCTACTAGTACAGGTATCGAGGATGTTCAGTCTGGAAATTCAAACGATTCAGAAAGAGCTGGAAGTCAAGATCAAGATCCCCTTCTAGTCATTGTTCCTTCTGGTGAGCGATATAATCTCATCAGACAACTGGAAACTTTCGAACCACGAATTGTTATTCTTTATCATTCTGATATTGCGTCTCTTCGGTTGTTAGAGGTGAAGCTTATTCTTTTTTGATTTTTTTAAATAAAATTTTCTCAAATAGAATTTATGGATGTAAGAACGAAGCATTGGACCAAAATGACATATTTCTCGAAATAAATTCAAACATCGTAGTGTGTCTACGTACATTTAGTTAATTAGATCGTTACAGATGTATAAAGCGTGCCATTCTGATAAACCGTTAACAATATATATTGTTATGTATGCGAATTCAAATGAAGAGGAACGTTATCTTTGCTCACTAAGAAAGGAACAAATTGCTTTCGAGGAAATGGTCCGAGAGCAAGCGGTGCGTCTAGTTTTGATAATTTTTTTCAAACTTACCTGAAAGTGTACAATTTTGTATGTTCATTTTTCAGACGTTGATGTTTCCCAAGGAATATGAAACAGATCGTAAAGAACCTCATAGACTGGTACTTATGAGATCGACTAGAAATGCTGGTGGAAGAATTGACCATGATGAAGGAAACCCAAGGGTTGAATTTTTTCTAGTTTACTCAGTTCAAAAAATATTAAACAAATTACCATATGCAGCTTTTTAAAGCATAAGCACTTTTAAGCATGGCGACATAGTTGATATAATGTCATTCAGCACTTTAGGTGATAGTTGATATGAGGGAATTCCAAAGTGAATTGCCAACAGTACTTTACAAAAGAGGTATAGATCTATTGCCAGCTACGATCGAGGTTGGAGATTATATTCTCTCGCCAAATATAGCTGTTGAAAGAAAAGCCCTCGATGATCTTACTCAATCACTTCATAGTGGTCGCATTTTCAAGCAGATTGAGCAGGTATTTCTTATGAACTATTATTTTTCTAATTAATTACTTAAGCTCTCTTAATACTACGGACTTTAAGTCTATTGAAGTTCTTTGAATTGTTCATTAAATTAATATTTGCGTGGAACATTATTGGTTTTTTGACATAAGTTATGTTTTAGATGCTGCGTCATTATAAAAATGTAATTCTGCTTATTGAAGCAAACGTCAAAGATGACTACAAAAAAGTTAATGGTGGCCCCTTCCAGGTAGGCTTCTAATCCTGATGTCATGTCTTCGTTTCTTTAGTCTCCTAGAACATCACTGCATTCATGACAGGATTTCAGCAGAAATCATTTTTATTATTCTAAATTATTTATTAGTCGGAATTATTTTTATTGTTCATATCTAGTTATCTCATTGTCATTGGTAAAGCGAAGGAAGAAAATAATTTATAGCCTATTTAAACATTGAAGGGGGAGTTAAGCCGTCGTTGTCGTGAAACACGATCTCTTTTTACAATTTTGGTGAGAACATATCCACATATGAATGTTATTTGGACTTTGGATCCTGCGCACTCATCGGAAATATTCGAAGAGCTAAAAGTAATTCATAAATTTAGATAATTTTTTGATTTTGTAAATTGTTGCTGCTTGTATAGTATTTGTATTTGAAGTGTAACAGTATCATTTGTTTGCACTTCACAATGAATTATTTAATGAGTGTTACCATATTATTAAACAAATTCAAAATTTTTTATTTGAGAAATGTGTGGTACTTTATTTTGGCTATAGTTTACTTTTTTATAGCTTAATGAACAAGAACCAGATCTGGTCCAGGCGTTGGCAGTTAAAAGTGATCTCGAAGAATGCGCTGATGCATCTAACTCTGAATCGGGTTTTTTTTTAATTTCTTCAATACGCTCTAAAATGTGAATAAGAGGTTTAGTTTTTAGATGTATCTATTCACCAATTCAATTTGTAGTAGTCGTTTTCTTAAATCAGGTTGGCGGTCATCTGATGTATGACTTCTTTTTGATAAATCGCATCTAAACAGCAATATTCATTGGCGAATTCTTAATCGATATTATATCATGAGAACTCATCTTTCTTACCAGCTTTGAGTGCATGACTATGTCTGGATCATTTCGATTAATTTGCTTTAAAACTTTTTGTTTATAATTAACGAATGATTTAATTCTTTTTCCTTAAAATCTTTCATACTAGTAATTGTTTGCATTATTTTTTTTCCATTTTCGCCGTTATTTCGTAATACATTAAAATTAATCTTTACTTACTAATTTGAATTTACTTAGGCGATAAGGCAGTATCAAAGCGCTGTAATTCTGTTCTACATCGCCAATTGATACGTTTGCCACGTATTTCAAGTGGTGAAGTGACACGGTTGATGGAATGTGAAAAAATGAAATGTTTATTGGATGCTGTTAACAGTGACGCAGATGTACTTGCAAATGTTCTAAACAACAAAGAACTAGCTTCTTCATTGCATCGTTTTTTCAATACTGATTTCAAATTGAAAGCATTAATGTCGTAGTATATATTCCTTGCTAGTTTCTGAAAAATAAGCCTGATAAAATCGATTAATGGACTAGGTTTTGAAAATAGGCTATCAAAAGTTCTTGAAGTATATGTATGAACAAAACTAATAATGAATTCTATACAAACATATATAAGCCATATAAATAAATCTATGGCAAATCTTATTTTGCTCTTTTGTTCTTTTTTCGAGATCTCTCATTGTCTTCCCTTACAATGTCAAATTGATCATTTCAGTTTTTAAAGACTAACTGCTGAGTTTTATTTTTGTACTTAATTTCAATATTTTATACAGCCTTACATTGGTTTTTTTCAAAAATTTGTAATTTCAAAGTAAGTATTGAGGCGTGTAATAGAAGTTGTAATTTTGCTCAACGTACATATATTAAAAATTATTTAACTTTGGATGTAATCGTTCGTTTTTATAATAATCTTATTAAAATTTTATCTTATCTTCTACATCACATTGGAATAATGTGTCAGAATACACAATGGATTTCGAAATTTCGAAAATTATAAATGCACAGACCAAATCATTGTTTTTCTGCTAAGCTATAAGCTTAATTCACCAGCAAACATTGATATTAGCAAAGTTTCTTCACCTTTATTATGTTATCCTAATAGTAGACTTTTATTGCTGACAGAAAAATTTATGTTGGTAAGGAGATATTCATAATATGCATGCATCAATGTTGGAAGCGTAGCAACAGCAGCAGCCTAATGAAGTTTAATTAATTTTGTTGTTAAGCAAAAAGAATATTTTATCATTATCTCTTGCTACATTCCATACCTTCTTACAATTAAAGATCAATTAAGACTCTGAGTTTCTCATTTTTCTACCTTTCGATTTACTTACCTATCCATTAAATGATATCGCAATAGTAATTTATCGTTAAGAAAAGATTTTGATGAAAATATTTGTAAATAATAATGATGAAAAAATATTGCAATATTAAGGTTATCATGTAATATAGCAATTTTGCTACCGCAATATTATTTCATCATTGTTCCTTTTTTCATTTAACAAATAAATTATTACTTTCGTTTTTGCATATTAAAAATAGTCTTTGAAATAACTCTATTAATTATTAAATGCTAAAACTAATTTAAACAATAATTATATCTTTTATTTCTTATCATATTTCAAACGTTAATTTATTTTACTTTCAGTCATATTTTTTAATTTTTACTGCATTTATTTAATTTTAGTTGTTTTAATTATTTAGAATATAAATAAAAACAAATAAATAATTATTTTAGATTTCAATTTTCCTCTTTAACTTAATGAAAATCTCATTGTTTTAATTAATCACATCTAAGTTTCGTGCATTCTCATTGGTTTTGATAAAAAAAAAACAATTCCAATTGATGATGATCACAGTGAAATTTAAAGCTGGAGTGAGAATCGTTTCACAAAAGCTATTCCTTAAGTAAATGGTTTAACATTTTTAATTTTTTATTTAACAAATTATCATAATTAATTGTGAGTTTATTTTCTTCCTTACTCTGTTCGGCGGTCGATCATGCAAATAAATTAGTGAAGTTCAATTTTCTTTGTTCCAAATAATATAATGATTGCCTTTTCACATGCAACCTTTTTTTTAAAATAATCTTGAAATTGCAGTGTTTATATTTATTCTCTTTTAAATGGTTCATTCTCTTCTCTTATTTCAAATTGATTATTTTTGCATTCATATGTTAATGGAAAGGTTTTTCGATAAATGTTTTCTTTCCCGCATTTCTTCTCCAATATTGAAATAATTCTTTTTTTTTTTCAGTAAAGCATTGGACTTCTATTCTTTTTCAATCGTTTGAAAATTATTCGTTTTTAATTTTCATCCTAAAATTATTTCAATTGTTTTAAATCATTTCAAAATATTTTAGGAAAATTCTCATAAAATATTAGGAAAATATTGGATGGAATTTAATTGCTTCTTTGAGATAAATCAAAAATAAAATTTATTCATTGATTCTCTTGCAACATCTCTATTTGTACTTTTCATAAATCAAAAAATTTATTCATCGATTCTCTTGCAACATCTCTATTTGTACTTTCCACTTCAATATCCTAACTTTTCGTACAAAGACTAATATATTGAGAAATCTCTGCATACAATTTCAATAATCAGCGACATTTCAATTTGTACTTTACCACTTCAATATGCAAAGTATAAATAGAATAATTTTATGTGAACTTGTAAATTGTTTCATGTTTTTGAAATTCTGTGGGAATGCTGCTTACAACACATAAGTAGTGTTGTTTCAATGTCACATTGGAGAGCGCATGCGTCGTAATATAGGAATAAATTGCACATAAGAGAAATGATTCAGTATTGGTTTTTTGGATTTCAAATTCATGTAGTGGAATGAATAATTAAAATTTATCCGAATTAAAGCGGAAAGAGCTTTCATGTTCCTTTGATCGATGGAAAAATAATACTACTCAAATAGCATCTCCCATTTTTCTTCTACCATAAATTCCTATAAATCCTCCCATAAATCTCCCATAAATTTTAAAGTTCTCGGAGATGTAGTTCACGATATAAACTTTTAATTTTAAATTTGAACTCAGGAAAGCTTTAAGAGTTAAAAAATTGTGAATTTGAAAATTAAGCTGTCAAAAAATATGAATGATTTCAAGAATTCATGAAGCGACAAATGACAATTTGTACAGTCAGTGGTAATATTTGATGTTTGTCTGTTATCATCGACTCGAATTGTTGCGTGAACTAACTTGAAAACGATATCTTCATACGTCTTTTTCATCACCAACACTATCAGTATCTTTTAGATTTCAAATTATAGCAAAATTCAAAACAAATTACAATACATTGATCGATATACCTTGATTGAGATGGCGGTAAATTTATGATGGGGAGTGCAGTAAGTTCAATCGGGAGAAATAAATCAGTTGGTAACTGGGTTAGTTCCGAATCTGAGAATCCATTCGAAATCGCTTTTGTCAAGAAAGAACGGATCTGTTTGCGAGAAAGTTTTCAGGTCAGAGTTGCATAATTTTACTTTAAATAAGATAATAATAATGAAATGAGACGAACTGCAAAAGTTTGATTAATGAAGTTTTCTGGCTTTCTTTTTAATTTAATTTAATTCAGCTCAAATATATTCATTTTTATTTCCAATTAGTTCAATCATTCCTTTACTTAGTTATTTTAATTAAAAATAGCATATCTTCTAAAAGTATGAAATTTACATTTTACTTCAAGTTTTTCTTCTTTTAGAAATTGAAAGATCCAAAACAAATTATTGAGAATATATTTGTAAAAATTCTAAACGATATTGCACCCGAATTGAAAAAGGTTATTTTCTTTATACTTCCTTATTATGGAAAAGATTAATCAGTTTTCCGATATTTGAAACAATTTATTAATTTAATGCTATACAGTAAATTAATAGAATTCAGTAACAGACCTTATTATGATCTATAGTTCATATTAAAATACAACTTGTAATGTAATAAAGATGAAGTTTTAAATGATTTTTTAGACTGAAGCATTTAAGGGTTAATTAGTAATAGCAAGGTATATCTACCTATCCAATGAATTCAATTTTTATTAAATTGCTAGAAAATTGCTAACGAAAAAAAGCATTCCTTATATTCCTATCTTACAATTTCTCTTCGAAATAGCCAAAATTTTTTCAGCCTTTCGGCGTCGAAAGATCATCCAAAGCAATAATGCCAAAAATGCCAAAATTGGGCAGACATATCGCGCAATTTCTCGACTGTCTTGACCAAGTGCTTCTTCTTATTTCAACTAATTAATTGGTATTTCAGTGATCTTTTAGGTGATGACTTTTAATTTGCAGATTTTTAATTTGTCGTATGGATTAGAACATTTGGTACAGTTTGCTTTTTAATAAAGACTAATGGTTACTTTAGTCGTCTACCCAGCTTTTTGATATACTGTTGATAATTTGGACCATTTAATATTAACTAGCCAAGAGTAAGGAATATTTCTAAAAGTTTGGTTCTGATCATATTTCTATATAAGTTATCCAATATTGAGCAAATGTCGCGAGAAAGTGCCAATGTACAGATTAGTTTCTGCAACAGTTTAAGGGTTCTAACTTTGACATTTTTGTTATAAATATAATGAATTTATTCCAAATCAAATTTTCATACTTTTGTCAAATTAGAAGATTCAGATGAATCATCAATATTCGATATATTTTACCTTAACAATTGCAGTTGACAAATATGATTGGTTGTACAGAAAATCTACTTGGTGCTTGGCAATTAGCTCGTAAAGCCGGTCGAGCGCATTCTCGGCAAATGTTTTTAGAAATGAATCAAAGCAAAGAAAAAAACTATTTTGCCATTGTAGGCAATACATTCATCGATGAATTTATTCCCTATCTGGCTGGTGAAGAAGTAAATCATTCCTTTTTTCTGCATTTCTTAGGATTCAGTTTAATTAATAGCCTTTTTCGAATTGATACAGAGCAAAGTACCAGTAATTTAGATTGCATTTTCACAAATCAGTTCACGAAATTGGCTATTCAGGAAGAACCAAATCAGAAAGAATCAGATCAGGATAAGAAAAAAGTGCGCTTTGCACCTCCTTATTCCGAAACGATGATAACTGATGTGTGGCGAAGATTCTTCATCATTCTCGTGACGCAGATAACAGAAAGTTTTGAGGAAGGGCGGAAAAAGCACAGTAAGAGAATTAGTCAGGGAGCACTATCGCTAAATCAATTTGGTATGGAGAGCGAGAAGAGAGACAAAAGAAACAAGTTAGATTAAGTTTGCAATAATGTTGTTTGTATTGTTTATATATCAACTCATGCTCTTTTCAAAAAAAACTTTATACCAATTCATGCTCTTTTCAACAATTGATGGTACCTCAAAAAACATTTTTTAGAGTTTTCCAAGTTTAATGAATTTCCTGAAATGAAGTTCTTCAAATAGATTTCAATCTAATTAATGGACGCATGATTTGTAATTGGTTGTTTTAGCTAGATGAGTGGACCCAAGTTGGTAGTACTCGGCTTGCGGTTACATTATACAACGATGGCCGACTGTCGCTGGATGAAAGATGATTACTGTCCTCAGTAATATTATCATTCTTCAATGAATTTATTGCAGATTCGTCATCGGCAACAGTATTAAATAAGGAGCAGCGGGATTCAGTTTCTAATTCTTGTTTCTCATTTTGTACCTATCACTTATTTTTGTTCCAGTAAAATTTCCAACTTTAGTTTTTTCCTCACTAGCGATTTATTAGATTGTCGTGTTAACTAAAATATCTTAAAATTCTTATCAGAGATCTCCTCTAACAGATAAAAAATGCTCTCAAAGCTGCATTACATGTGAAGTGATAAAAGTTATTTCAAAGACGATAACTTAATTTTTCTTACTGAATATCATTCAACTAACAATTCTCTTATGTAGTTCAGCATTTTAACTTCAGTTAATCTCATGAATTTACTTGTACCCATATTCAAGATAAAATTTACAGAGATGAAGAAGGATGTAGCAATTACAATGTTTCAGATAACCTTAATTCCATTCACTATAACAGCTTACTAAACAAGGCTATTTTAGGAAAGATGACATCAAACAGAGAAGAAATCAACATCTGCGGAAAACAAACAAAGTAGACAAAGCAACTTCTGCACTGATCTTTTTTGAGCCAAAATATCCTCCAGTCGCTCATTATCCAGCAAATTCCTCAGCCGTTATTTTTTATATTATTGTCTAAATCATTTCTTTATAGCCTACAAACTGTAACGATCCTATGAAAGCCGATTTCTATTTTTTTTACAACAGTAAGCGCAATTAGAAAAGTGTCGTGAAAGATCAAATGACATTGGATGACTTGAACATATACAACCCAATCAAACTGGTTGGCATCGTGCACTATATTAATCCGACGAAACAATTTTGATCCTATTCTGTTTGTACAAGAAAAAACAAAATGATCATTGTAATATATTTCGAAATGTGATGAGACACGAGAAAATTCCACTTACATTTGAATTCTTTGTATAGTAACAAAGATACTAGAACTCATTTTCACATCAGAAATAACCAAATTTATAGAAAGAATTTTATAACAATTTTCATAACGTAGTTCAATACTTAAACAATTTGTGATGATTGCCGGTTTGATTGCGCTAACTTATCATTAGATTTTGATAAGACCTGCAATAACAAGTATTCAGAATAAGCGACATGGCCGTATAAAATAAATAGAAACTCGTTATACTCACTAGAGCTATTTGTTTAAATCGCTGGAGAGACCGCTGGATTTGCAAAAGATAAATCTGGGAACTGAATAATAATTTTTCTCTATTTTCAGTTACCTATTATAAATTTTCAGACTCAGATCAAAAAACGAATTTAATTTATTAAGAAAGAATAAAAACTAATTTGAAAAATAAGAAAATCAGAAACTCACCGAAAGGAATGCCATTTTGGATATATAATTGGTGAATTCATTCGTAGTTCCCCATCTGCAACGCAAATAGCCATACAAATTTGCTCCGTTCATTAGCAGACCCATTATAGCTATCACCATCCACTCCCATTTCAGGGTTACGAAAGCAATGCAAACTAATATTACCCACATAGCTGGTGCTGCAACTAAAGCACCCCAAAAAATTCGCCGTTCCAAGACATCAAAGCAGGATGTATCCTATAATAATTTGTAACAATAAAACATTGTTATAAAATGAAGTGTTTTCTCGAATCTAGAGGGGGCAGCTTTTTTTATCTAAAAAGACTAAAAGTCAGGATTGAAGTCCAGAAAAAACCTTTCTTTTCAATCACTAGATCACAAAATTGTCCCCATTCTGTGTGGAATTACTCATTAATATTTGGAATTGCTTATTAATAAAAAACATTGACCAATTCCTATACTTATCTTCTTGAAAACAGACCTTTGCTGATTCATATCGCCAATGATTGTTACCTTCAGCGTCAACAAAATTCCACCAACGAAGACCAACAAGAAGACGCCCGGTTATATTTTTCACGGTCCAAAAATCAATGGATAACAAGGTAAGCTGAAAACAATAGTATAGAACAGTCATAAACAGCAAAAAATTAGAAAAATTCATTAACAAGAATGAACGAAGAAATCAAAAAGGCTTTAGGAACTTACAATAACTAAAAAATGAATGATAAAAGAGTTTGTGAAGAAATATGCAAAAACGTAGAAGAAAACAGCGGCTGAGCGGAAGATCACATGAGAAAATACAATGGATGGATGACTGAAACAAAAGATAATCGACCTTTTATGAATACTTCCATTAATACCTATTTCTGATTAATTATAATATAATCTGGTTTTATTTCTAATTCCCTACTCTTGATTAATTAATGTGATCTTGTTTAAGATAGATACTCAAAAATTAACCTGTCATAATGGTTTGCCTATTTTTTACTGCTATCCTATTCGACTTTTCTTTACTTTTCAAATATTGGCCATACCTTCTGTAATATGCCTAACTAACGAGATAAGGGAATATGAAATCCCTCATATGCGTCAAACTTCAATCCACAAGATTATGATCTGTTATGAACACTACAATTTCTAAATCTCTCTACAGATAAACTTTCCAATGCAAATAGTGAAACTATCAAAGAAAATATAGACGAAAATTATGCCTGAATGTTCCCTGAGCTGTGGATCTTATAAATCCTTGTCCTTCAGAGATATTTAATTTCGAATCAAAACTCGCAACCATGTTATTTTCCTGAAAACAATCGAATAGTTTCTAAGATTTTCCGTTGATGACTGTCGATCAAAATTTTGAAATATCGAAAACTCCATACGAAATATTCATTCTGCAATAAAAGACTGATGCTGATTAGTCAGGACAAGAATATAATTCCACTATTCCACCCAGAAAGCACTTACCACGTTGCGCACTTATCAATTCACTTATAAAAGAAGCGCAGGTCATGGAGACTACACTCAGGATATCTACTATTAATTTAGCACTGTCAATCTTATTGCATAATTGATGCATAATGATAGATTTGACGAATTCCAAATATTACTGAGTACTTCAAAGGGTAAAATAGCGCAAGAACGCGCTCTCCTATCACTAATGAACAGTTGAAATGTAAAATCCACTCATAAATGGAACGAAACAAATTTTACTTTTTACGAAAGTATTAAAATAAGTTAAAAAGATGTTAATAGACTAATACTGACGGAAACACATTAGGCGCCTACTGCAAATGAAAAAGATCCCAATATGTCAATGCCTTCCTACGTTCTTCTTTCTTTTTCGTCCCTTCCTACAATTGACAGTGAACAAACAAGGAATAGGGGTCAAGCAATAACTAAGATTCATCTTCACCCAAAATTCGAGAAACTCAAACAACTCAGATTGATACATTCCTGTCTTTTCCTCAGCAATCAGAAATTTCAAAAAAAATTCAAATGAAGCACCAAACTCTAAAAGACATTATGTAAAAACAATAAATAAGATGGTAGGTAAAATAAATTTATGAAACATTTGAAAATAAACTATACTAAACCAAAATTTTATATGAAAAATTTATTACGAAGACAGTCACAAAAAAAATGAATAATGACATATCAAAAAGAACATTAAAACAAAGTTGAACTAATCAAATATGAGAGTTAAAAAACTCCCCTACAATAGGATATTAACACTGAATAATTAATAGATTGTAATTCAACATAATCCTTCCCGTCATATGTCTCTTCTCTCATTTGATCGGTAAGCACATTTCAAATTGTAAGATGTACAAGAATTTACCAGGTAAGAGTCTATCAAGTAAAATAAATGGAAAGTGATAAAAACCAATACAGTAAAATAATAAAAACTAATAATGAGATCCCCATTATGTCGCTCAGAACAACGTCAGCATCCAAAACCTATTTTTTATTTATATCATCTTATTATTTACAAGTTAATACAATGAAATTTCAATTACTTCCCGTATTCTTCATCTCATATTCATTGCAGCAATACATCAATTTCCTCATTCTCACACCGGAGTCTTAGCTTCTTTTCTACTAACGCATCCAGTAATTTTTCATGCTCACCAGCGTTAACATCTTTATAGTCCATGATGAGAGACTTAGACCATGGACATTCAGCATATGCCAAGTAGAACGCCTTTAAAAGATGATATATGTTTAATAATGAAATTTAATTTAACAAACTTTGATAATTGAAAAGCATCATTTTAGAAGCCCCAAGAGTGAGAGAAAAGAGATGGGACATTTCCAACCAACTGTTATGAAAAATTGTGAAAATTGAAGCTAACTTACAGATTATAAGAATTTTACAAAAAAATATTGATATTGGTTTAAACATAGAGAAAGAACCTCGCGTGCACGTAGAGTATCTTTTCGTTCATGCTCGATGAACAATAATAAACGCCAAAAAACATCATCACGATGGCAGATACGCTCACTTGACTTCTTCAAAATTGCTCTAAGACGATGCAATTCGGGCGATTGGAAATCATTCGTCTCTAGTAGCCTTCTATGTCGGAGTAGTTCAAGATACACAGAACCAAAAGCAAGATAATAATTTGCATGCCAATCTAGAATGAAGTAAATTCAATCTAAGCATGTAAGACAGCTTCATTTTCAATGATCTCTAAAACTGGAATCAAATGCTTATTACGACTCACTGAAGGTTCATTAACGAAACATCACAATGACTAACTAACCATTCATGCACTGAATCACATTACATCCCGAAATAAAAATTTGAAATGCATAGAAGAAAATCTATGATAAAAAAATAGCAGAAATTGGACGGTGAGAGGAAGAGGCCAAAGTAGGGCAGCGGAAGGCTTGAAGTGTAAAGATGGAAGTTTATTTTTGTTGTTCATGTTCTGTTAAATGCCATAACAAAAAAAATCGATGGAGATGAAATTAGAAACCATACTTTCGTATGAATAACAGATCATCATAAAAACTAAAAACGCTACAACTGTTCGTCTTCCTTAAAACACAAACACTAGAATCTGACTACACATGAGCTGATAATTATTGATGCTGTCAAATCATTTCAATTAACCATTCGATATTTACTCAAGCCAAAAATATCATTGAAAAATAAAATTATACCTTCCACATCACTTTCTAGGAATCTTCTCAAATGTATAACACGCACTCCTAGAGCACAGCAGTCTATATAAGTCTTCAGAAATGATATTTCTGTCGGATATTTTTGATAAGCCGTTATAGATGCTTCCATTAGTAAGCGTTGAGGCTCACATGGATTATTCTTAACATGCGTTCGTAATAGTTCCAGATATTTTCTCTAGAAATTTCATTAGTTCTTACACGAATGAACTGGTTAAACCCTATCAGATCATAAAAAACCGTTTATTAATGGGAAATATTAAACGAGATAAATGAATTAAATGTAGCCAAGCTTCCTGAGACGATGCCTTACTGGTTATTTCATCGGATAAATAATTAACAAAAACGTGTGACCTTTGACTCTAAAAGTACAGTTCTTATTTTTATTTTTATCTACCTTTGATTAGTCCGTCCACAAATCGGTCATTGCTTTTGTTACTAGACCAAGTCAACTTTTCACTCGTGCTCAATAAAAACTTTAAATAAAACGAACCGTAAATCTGCGTTGTGAATTATCCTTCATGATGTCAGACAGGGCTGTGTAACATTTCTTTAAATTATGTGCCCTTTTACTGTTATCAGCATAATAATATGCAAAAAAAAGAGCCAATGATGCTGTGAGATCAACTGCAGAACCTTCCCATGTTTCTTTCAAGCGATTAGTTTTCAAAAGATTATGGAGACGAATGTTAACTTGATTCTCAATTTTTTTTGCATCTGTTGTCTGAAATTATCAAGCCCAGAAAACTCTAAAGTAAACAATCCTACTGTATATTATCTGTTTAATTTTAAATTCACAAATTCATGAAAATATCGCAGTTTTCTGCATTCCTTTCTGATACATCAAAGTATGCCGCTTTGTCGGTATAATTTCAAATGCACTTGTAAATGATAATTAAAGAAAGAAACAAAATTAAATTAAAAGCGGTTATTGAGTCATAAAGATGTTTTAAGAACAAGCCGAATTTTCTAGTGTTTATTTCAAAGATACTAGAATATGATTACTTTAAAATTACCGTATCAGCCACAGGTTTTCCTTCACATATAAAACCAGCAATGAGACGTTGCTTCTCGGTCTCGTCATCAGTTGCAGATATACATACAATAGCCATACGAAGCAGCGAAACTATCCGTACTACTTCATTCTCGCTCCATATATTCGTTATGAGGAATTTATTGGCGCAAATTTTTGCTGCTTGTATTTCTCCCAGCTCATACATCTAAACAAATCAACATTGACATCAAATAAGTCCACTCTTTCATCAAGCACATAACCGCTATAATTTTCGTCCTTAAATTTTCCCTAAGTCATCCATATCTCTCAATGAATTTGATTTTTGAAATAAAGATTGCTTTCAATTGAAAACTGATAATAAACACATCCAAAAAACATACCTTTTCTGCATATGTTGCCATCAGTGAGATATTGTTAAAATTGTCATTCTTATGGCAAACATTTTTTGCTTCCTCTCGAAATTTCTTCAAACGCATTTTTTCGTTCAACTCACCATCCATTTTAAGATAATTAAGATGTCTAAATTAATTACTAATGATATTAAAGAGCGTGTAAGATGCTGTCTGATGTGATTTATAACGATAAAAAAGGTTTTAGCGATAGTAGAACGGACAATACTATTTCCACTAGTAAGCTTTTAATCTATCACTCATATTGCATTTAGTTATAAAAATGGAATAAAATAGAAAAAGTCGAAAACTCTGCTCAATTTAAAGTAAGATGGCCAATGAATCGGATCTAAAAATTTAACAATGACGATGACATTTTATAAAACATACGTGAGAAGCTGTGATGATAACAGTAAATCCCGTTCTTTTTGTATATAATTGGAAGCCAGTTCGAAAAACCTGCTTAATGATTTAGCAAAATTTTTCAACCGTAGAGAAAGATCAGGAAAAATGGCAAACTCATGCATAATGTTCGCTGATAAAGTTGAGTCCTAAAAAGATAAAGTAAAAGTTCCAAGATAATAGAAAATAGCCGTCAAAAAAACCAATTCCAAAAAATAAACCACTGTTTCTCCTTCGTGAAAAATCTAGAAACTATTAATATGGACATCGATTTCTTGCTGTATACCAATGAGACATGTTTTGCATATCAAAATCTAAGACCCAGAAACAACATAAGCCTAGAAATAGTCGTGACTCCTACAAGGAAGACTCACTCACATCCCCAATATAATGTCGCTAAAGTTACATTGGTACCTTGTTTAGGCTGTATTAATCAGGGTACCGTTCCAGACTGCTCCTTCAGCATCCTGACTTTGAATCAGTTTTGGAGATGGAATTGTAAAGGAAATCATGACTATTAATCCTTTAATGCTAATCAAGATTTATTGCAGATGTTTGCATACCCGAGCATATATCACCGCTCCAAATTCTTCCATAATGCTGCAGAAAAGATCGAAAGCAATAGATGGACTAAATATATACAACACATCCTCAATATCTTGAAACGTCACGACTCGTTCCCTATCATCGAACTGCAATTATTAATAAAGTGAATTAAAGAAATAAAGAATTGAAGTCTTCAGCTGTTGCAAGAATATTTAAATAGTTGGGTAATACATACTGTCGCGCCTAAATCTCTAATAGGTCGCCATTGATATTGCGTGCGCAAACGTTCTATTTCTATCCAAACCAAACGATTAGGTAACTTCAAGCCATTTGAGCCAACTCTGTTACATAATTCCGCCTCTTTTTTATCATATTCCAACTGTTCCTCTTCGCACAACAACCGATCTGTTTCTACTGTTCCTTCCTTTACGCGTTTCATTGATCTTGCCCATCCTAAAGTTAAAAATGGGATCACTGAATAATAGGAAGTTTGAAAATGAAATTTTAAGCAAAGGGTTTGGAAACCTTCTGCGCCATCATCTCCGATACGTGCAATTCCACTATCCCAAAAAGCTTCGAAAAGTTTTCGTTTATCTTCCAAGTCCGCATTTTTGAATGATTCCGGAACACATAAGTTAAACTCACAAACAGCTTGAGCCGTCGCAATTGCCTGTAACTTTCCAGAAAAATAGCAGACTAATCTTTTTATTTCTTTCCCAGTCATCACTCCGTTCTCTCATTTCTTTGTAAATAAATTGAAAAGTATATATAAACAAAAAACTTAGAACCATACAAAGAAAATTGAATCTCTATTAGCAAAGCAATTGCTTAGAACAAATCTAAACAGCATCAATATTCGTAAAACATTAAGCTACCTTTTCAGTATGTCCACATTTCAACAGAAGACGTATTCTACGAAGGATCACCGATGCCATGAACTGTTCTGTGTTTGGCAATGCTCTGTGTGACAATAATTTACCACTACGTATTTCATCAAGTTTTTCCAAACATACTTTCATCTTTATACACTGAAACATATATTGGATTAAAAAATTTGCAAAAAAGTCCCTAAAATTGAACTGACTGTATGCAAAAGATAATGAATGACATGAGAATACATACCTGACATGAATAAGTTAAATAAAGTAAACAATTATCACATTTTCCCAATATAAAAAAAAATCTTTTCTATTTCAAGCATATTTTAACAAAGTTTTTCCAGAACCATTTGTGAAAAAAAACCTGATTAGTAAGACTAAATCGTCTCGTGTCGCTCTCTAAAAGATCAAGTATGCCTTCCCACATTTCTGGATCGTTGACATGTTTGAACTCCACCTTAATATGTGAACATAGAGAAAATATTGAAAGTAATTACTGGTAATGCAGCAAAAGAATAATAATTACGAAAATAAAAAACCGTTTGATATCACGAAATATAATTAAGGGCAAAAAGCCAACATCTCTCATTTCGCGACTGAAAACATTCTCTTCCCATAGATGCATTCCAATTTTTAGACGTTCCAATTTGAGTCTCACACAATTGAAATTAAATGAAATCGCCTGCAAGAGCAAAAAAAAAAAATGTTTGTTGTAAACAAACAAAAACAACTGTGCAGATAGTTTAAAAGGATACATTGTGATATGAAAGTATGTCACGATTTTTCCATCACATTTCATAAATATATGTTTTTCTAGTCAAAACCAAAAAAACCTTTAAAACATTAATTTTTATAACATACATAAATCTTCGCCAATACCGCATAACAAATTAAGTTTACATAATTATTATCTGTAAAAAAAGCAGCAGGGCATCAAATAATCCATTACTTTATCCAAAATGCTCATTTTCCGTTCCAAGAGCTCACGATTCGTAAGCCGCTCGTTCCTTGTCTTCCTATTACTTTCCGGACTGTCCTGAGCCAAAAATACTTCATCCTTAAAAACGCAAGAGTGATTATTGTGGTATCTAAAGTGATGTGAAAATGGTCAGAAACGAGAAATCAAATTAATTTGATGAAAAATATAAACACAATAATTTCTACCTGAACTGCCAGGAATTTCAGCCACAATCCAATATTGTATCGATCTTTTCCTAATTCTGCATTATACTTTCGACTTTTTACTTCTGCGGTTGCTTCGATTAGGGATCTTCCGCCTTGAACTGCGTTACACTTTTCTACACTCAAATTTCCACTCTCATCCTTAATTTTAAAAGTCAAGCCCATAAAAATGAAAATAAAAATGGGAAATTATAGTAATATAATTATAACAAATGGCATTACCTTCAAGTCATCCTCCGACAGAGCAAACCTAGACAGCTCAATATAGTCTGTGAAAGGCTTTAATTCTTTTTTTCTCCACAATCGCTCTGGTTCTTGTTTCCAGACCTTTCTGATCTTGTCGCTAAAGTACCTTTGAAAACTATCTTTCTTTTCAGAAGTACCGAAATGAAATCTGCAAACATAAACGCATTTTCTATAAAAAGGATAGACAAGAAATGCTCTACGAGTTTAAGTTCACCCCAACAAGAGTGCAACTCTAAATTCGTGACCTTATTAAGTACATTACATGAAGAAATAATTATAATTTAACAGTAATTACTCTAAAACTTGCCTTTCGAGAGTTTCGTCACCACCAAGAACTTTTTTCAATGCGAATCTGTATTGTGCTACTTCGCGCTTATATAGAGATTCATAATGTGCATTAGAACGATCTCCTTTTAAATCCATCATCATGAACGATCTCGCATTAGATGGATCGAACTCCATCATAAAGCTCCACCGCTGGTTTGCCTAAATTACGAAAAAACATTGAAACTGCAATTGCATAATAATCTGATAACACTAACTTAATTTCGCAAGTTAACTCAGATGGTTCTGAACCATTCGTAGAAAGGAGGTATTTTGACAACTGCCACCCAGAGTAAATTTTTAAAAACATACATACTATCATGTCTGACCATCTTCATCAGCACGTGTTCTAATGGAATAAATAAATTCAATCATAATCTTGGAATCAGTAGCACCATTGATCAAAAAGAATAAAGGATAAGATTACATATCAGTGCAGACAATTTCAGTTTTAAAACTAACACTGAGTATTTGAGGAACTGAAGGTCGCGTATTATAATTATTCTTGCTTGAACTCGAACTGATGCTGTCTCTGGATGAATCCGATTTAGAAGACGAAGATGATGAAGAAGTGGATCGTCTGCGTCTCTTTTTCTTTTTTTTTGATGATTTTTTTGACTTTCTTTTTTGTTTCGTACTTACAACAGGTACAATGTCCACAGGTATTTCGATATCACTTCCATCCGAATTGATCCCGACCATCTGTACAATACATTCAACAATAATAAATTTGATTTCTACACACCTGAATTTTATGTTTTTACAGCTGAAATAATCCTTTACTATATATTTCCCCAAATTCCCTAACAAAATAAATTGTTCTAGCTGAAAGTCCTCACTCTTGTTTTTCTCTTCCTCAATTTTGTATATTTCCCTATAATTTTCTCTTTTTATTCTGTTTTTAGTTTTTTAGAGAACTCACTTAATTGGATCATTAACCTGATAGCAACAAGAAATGAAATTACGGATGATAAGATAAATTATTTCTATTACTATATTCTACTTTTTCCTTTCCGTGCCTTCTTCCAAAAGTACTGTGAGATTCCAGGATTACTTTAGTGTTTAATAAGTATGTTATTCTCTGCTACAGTCTTTGAAAAAAAAATTATCTTGTTAGATGATGATCACCTCCATCACCTCAATAATGCCCGAAAGACCAATTACGAAGTCTAATACAAACCACTATTCTAATTATTTGTCACAATCAGCTTCTTATTATTTTGAGAAGGAACAAAATGATGATACTTTGATAGAATGCTGCGACAGCATCTTTTTCCGTTCAAATTCTTTTCTTCGTTTCGCTTTTTCTTTTGTTTTTCTTTCCTGGCGTTCGTTTTTCCGTTGCTTCTTATTTTCATTTTTTTTCTTTGATCTCGAAGCGAAAGAACCGAAACGACCACTGAAATCGTTGTCTTCATCGGGTAGGGAAATATTACGTGGAGGAGAATTCACATCATATGCCGGAAACATTGTCCTGTAAATAATTGCCGATAATGGCTGATAACTAACTTGTTAATTATGGCTTTCTGGAGAAAGAGGGAGGAAGAAGCAATTGCTCCTACTATTGACCATAAATTTGAAACCTAAAACTTGAAAATATAATAACTGAAAAAATATCTCCCACCTATTGCTAATGACACAGCCTCTTCTTTCCCTTCCTCTCAATACAAAAATAAGATTAATAATATTATGACGAAAGTAACAATAGTGAAACAGAAAAGTGCGATTGACGGTCGAAACAAAATGATATACTATGATGATCTAAGAACTATGGTGGGCCGAACGCCGTGTTTTAGTGGGATGCGCTTCAGAAGGAGTGAATCGGCCAATTTATTCCATTTGTTCGATGGAACATTACGAATGCCTCTGTAGTGGCCTGAATTTCATTCTATCATCCTTTTAAGCTCTCCACAGTAGCCTTCCCCCGATGTTTCCCCTTCTTTCGCGACAGATAAGGACAAAAGCCACGACAGACAAAGATCTTTTTCGTTACTAGACGACGGAAAACTAACCATACACACATACACATACACGGATCTATCGGAAAACTTGTAGTCGATGTAACTGGCCATTCAGCTGTCCATATCCATTTTCCGTTCGATGACGCAGATCGATTCTGTCGGTGTTCACTTTGCCTTTAGTTTGTACAAAACTTGATTGGCATCATATATTGCATTTTCATGGGATTGGTCTACGCTCGTTTAAAATGTAACTCTGATGTCGTAAAGTGGACAATTCTGATTGTTATATTTTATTTTCTTTTATTGAAAAAGTTAATTAGAGATGAAGTAATCAAAATAATGAAAATGTAATAGAAGAAGGAAGGCGTTGAGCGGTTTCAGCGAATATCCTTCTATCAGGTTTTTATCCTTTTATCCTTTTATCAAATCCAAAAAAAGAATTTTGTTGGAATTGCATAGTTTGGCAGTTAAGGTAAGTGGTTGCTAAAATTGAAATACGTTTATATACGTGTCGAAATCAAGAAGTCGATTTCTTAAGTTTCTGCCGTTGTAATACTTGTGCAAGTAGCGCAATTGTGACACTTTCGTTTATTGCTTGTGGTACTAAATTCTTCCGCAGCATTTCATATTCCTTCTTCCTAAGTAAACCACTGTATCGCATTTTCTTGAGTACCTGCACAACATGAACATATTGATTTCAATCTATAAAATCACTTCAAACATTCTGCAACCGTTTCATCCATCAAGGCATCTTTAAATTGTCCATCGATTTCCCATCTTCTCAATAAATAATCAGATAGGGCTGTCAGATTAAGTGAAAAGATTATTATCCTTAATATGGTTGAGATCTAGAATGTATGACCCTTTAAAAAAAAAAGAACCTTTTGGAGAAGTTCTGTATTCATTGGTAAATCAGAAACTGCTTTCGTCAAATTTTCAGCAATTTCTTTCTCACTCATTGATACGTCTTCGTCCAACAATTTGTTAAATGCTTCCTAAAGTAATGGATTAGTGTATAATGCATTTCTGAACCAGTCAATTATTATCAACAGATTCAATGCTCTGGATTTCAGTAAAAACTGACATTAGATATATTGTAGATGTTACATATCACAAGGCTCGGATCTGTGAACCTTTCAATCATAAAATTGATTTGCTAGTAAGTATTACATAATATTTCATATTTCATTTGAAATGCTTAAGATGATATAAATGAATTCTGGCCTCATTTATTTCTTCATGAACTATGCTTTGTAATCAAAAATTGATTTGTTGATAAGCATTACATACTGTTTTTTCCTTCTCCATCCCGTAAATTTCGAGAATTATTCGAATTTGTGCAAGTCCATTAATATATGATTGATCTTGTGACTCGTTTTGTTCATTCTGTTCTACATCAAAACTAAAATTCAACATAACTCTTAAGGAATAGTTTTTACGCTTATCATAATATTGCTTGCTTTCAGTCATTTTTTTAATGAAATAAATGAGCAGAATTAAAATTAAAACTGCAACTTATATCTGATCATTTACTACTTATCAATCTTAACATGTTTTCTAGCAGTAACGTGATGTACATTGAATACGGATACGTGCGTTACTTTTCGAAAATTAGAATTTCAGGTAAAACTCCATTAAAGTCACTAAATGATGAACGATGGTATGTTTTCAGTTTAGAAATGCAAGAATTTTTCAGATAATTTAGTGGAATAAGTTTGTTTAAAAGACGAATTTATTTTGTGTAGTAGGAAATATTCCGCTGTTTCTTATATTTTCGAACTTCTGAATACTTTGAAATAAAATGAAGTAAGCTTATATTCCAAAAATAATTCTTAGCCATAAAATTGAATGAGAGATCAAAATAGAAACAAAAATTCTAGAAGATTAGGATGATGAAAAGCGAAGATGTTTAAACTCAATTCTTCTCTCTCAGGAGTCCTGAAACGTTTTCAATTAATGAAGCAATTATACTTTACATTTTCTCTACTGTCATTAATTTTAGTTTTATTGATAACGAATAATTTTAATGATATTCTAAATTCATACCTGGAATTTGTACTTTGATCATTATTATCTGTTGAGGAAAAGGTTACATTTGATGAGCCAGAAAAGGTTACATTAGATGAGCCACTCTTATTTATCACTTCTTTCTTCTCGATTTCATTCTCCTCTTCTTCTGATGATTTCGATTCTGAGGTCGAACCAGTTGAACTGCCCAAACTATCTATTTCTCCTATATTTGAATTGTTACTTTCTTCTGAATCTATTTAATTGATGCTGTTATGGACTCTTTTCTTTCTTCTCTAATTTCTAACTTAGATAATGATGTAATAGTTTGTTTATTGTCTTATCGTGTAATTTACTCTGAATAAAAACATGCATAATTCTCCTCTTACCTTCATATATTTTATTGCTTTCAAGAACTTCATTTCTTTTCACGTCATCTTGTTTACGCCTAACTTCTATTTTTTCTTCAGGTGGTTTTGTGATCATTATTATTCGTTCTTGTTCTTTTTTTTCTTTACCAATCAGACCGATTTTCTCATCGGTCGGTTCAATACCTCCATAAGGCATTCCGTTTTTTGTAATTGGCGTAGCTGTTGCAAGAGGCTTTTTTAATGACGGAGAAGAAATTGTCGTAGCTGGAGAGATTGAAATGTCCATTACCGGTGTTAATGGTGAAGCTGATGAAATCACACTGCTGCCTAATGATGTTGTAGAGGTCGAAATGGATCGTTTTGTAATCTTAATGCTATCCGATAGCTTATCCTCTCTTCCTTGATCTTTTAGAAGTTTTGTTCCAGACTTTCTTCTAGAACTCAATTTTCTCTCGCCTTCAGTTTTTTTGCTCTCCTTTTCACTTTCTGATTTTAAGACTTCATTTACATCTTTCACAAAATTGGATTTTTTCGCCTTTTTTCCTTTCGACTTTTCCGCCTCTCTATCTAATTTAAATTTTTCATTTTTAATTTTACTTTCATCTTCGCTTATTAAACTCTTATTTTCTTGATGAATATTTTGATCTTTCACTTTTTTTATTTTGTGCTTCTTTATTTTACATTGTTCACTCGTACTTTTCGAAGTATTTCCGTGTTTTCCTGCTTTCTTCTTATTTCTAACTTTTTCAGATTCATAATGATCTTCAGAAAGATCTCTTCTTTTTCCTTTTTTAATTTCACTTTTCTCTTTTGCTTCGGTTTTTTGTGTTCCTGTAACACTCTCTGGCTCTTTTTCAGATGTACTTTTGTCTTTTTCCTTTAGAATCAGATTCTTTACTTTGATCTTCCCCGATGATTTTGCAGATTCAACAGGAATTTTAAAATCTCTATCCTTTTTTTGACTTACTTTTTTCGTCTTTTTTTTCTCTTTCTTTTCTGATTCACTGATATTTTCCGACCCTTTGCCAGACTTGTTTACACCCTTCTGTTTCAAAGTTATTCGTTCTGCTTTATTCTTATCCGAAGTTTCTGCAAACTTCTCCAAAATTCCAGCAATCTTTGCTGGTTTCACTGCTGACT